AATGCTGTGTCTGCATGGACGCATTAGTCAAGCTCAAACGGGTTTTTCTGCCATGCGAAGCAGAGCATGACACGACGTTAAACAAAGGCCGACAGATGATCGGCCGAGTCCATTGGACGATGGCCTCTCGGCCAAGTGGACACTTTGATCTGGGGGCGTATTGGGGCAGAGTGGTTCGTTAGAGGGGCACAGGTGGTCTGAGAGTCCATGAGTCTCAATCTGCGGTCGGTCACGTGCAAACGGTCCATAGAGAAGATACGTTCAAAACTGTAAACACAGCTTTGTCTTTTGATGTAGACCACGAAAAACCCAGGACGGCACGGGTGTGGTTTTATAAACCCACAGCTGAGGTGAATCTGTGGTGTGTGGAGCTGGGCTTCTCTTTTTGTGTCACAGAGATTTTCCTAATGTAGAACAAGAACTTTCAAAATTCAAACTGGGAAAAGAGTTGGTAAAAAGGTCAAGAAAGTAATAAATAAATGACATAAGAACTTTGTTAATAAAACACAGGCAAACTATCAATTATGCAAAAGTTAGTGGAAAAAAAACAAAGGTAAAAAGAAATCAAAGGTAAAATTGAAAAAAACTTTAAAATAGTCAAATACGCTCAGGAGAAAAACTTAATACTAAATCAAAAACAATTAGCACAGAAGCTAACATTAAGCTAAAAGTGAACTTTTTTAACTTTTTGGAGGTAAAAAGGGTAAAAGAGGTCATTGTTAAAGGTTAGTTTCATCAGTTTATCCAGTATAATCTCAAATTCACTGAAATGTTTTGGAACAAATTAAAATACAGAGTTGTCCAAATAATGAGGTGAAAAACTGCTTGTAAACAAACACTGAGAACATTAGCACAAAAACACTTCAACATCGTCGCTAATGCAGCCCAAAATGAAGCCAAATCTATTGCCCCTGTCAATGTGTTCCATCAGGAAATCGATGTCTGACCTGATTACAGTCAACATCAGTCACCGGACTTTTCTAATTCTACTAAAAGCATCATTATTTTGCACAGTGACTGACAATTATAATTATATTCATCAATGGACTGTATGTCAGAGTGTGACACAGGCACTGCCTGAGTTAGTGATAGCTGTCAAATATTAACACTGCCCCCTGTTGGTAAAGAGGCTGCCAGACAATGACACTTGGTCATTGACAAGATTTTGAACACAAAAAGAAATAAATCGCTTTTAAAAAAATTATAATAATAATAACAGCAGCATTAAATACAAGTTTAACACAGTGTATTTAAAAATGATAAATTATTAAAAAAAGCAAAAGTTGTTCATAAATTCAGAGCGTGCTGCGTCGACAGTTTGTCGTGGCAGGTTTCATCAGAGCAGCCACAACAACGTAAACCGTACCTGATGTGTTAACTGCTCGCCACGGAGCACGGTTTGAACATTTGACCTTCTAACACAGCTCATGACATTATGCTGACATTTACGGTAATCCCTCCCACAGTTCTTAATCCCCGTGGCTGTGGACTGTCCACACTCAGGCGCAGAGAGTGACGGACAAACTCAACCCAACCCCCGACACCCGGACCAGTCCAGTGACCAGTGGGCAGCACGGAGTGGACCTCGGACAGGTTAGTCCTCACGTGTAGAGTGAGGCTCGAGTATTAAAACAGGTCTCCTACACCACGGTTTCCCAAAGACTGGGTCGCAACCCTCAGGTAGGTCGCAAGAGGTTGTTTTTTTTGGGTCGTGTCGCATCATGTTTCCCAGGAGTTTACAAGTAACATCTACTGACTTGGGTCACGAAGGTTTGTGACATTTAAAATATGTGTCCCCAGAAATAAATAAAGTTTGGGAAACACCGATCTACACAGCGTACAGTTACTTTGTTGTTGTTCAGCTTGATGACATTTTGGACAAAACAGCTCACTTTTCTTATTAGTAGTCACTTATTCTGAACCCTTTATCAAAACAGGGATAAATCTAGAATCTCACCAGTCGACCTCAAAAACAAAAGAAGACGACAAAAAAAACAAAAAACATTAGTAGTAACTTCCACAAAAATCTGTACCTCTGCGAGAGGTACAGATTTTCACTGATCTGATCTGTCTGTGATCACGTCTGTAGACCAAGTCATGCAATTAAATTAACTCTCAGGTTAACTAACAGGCTAGTTAACTTGCATTAACTAGCATGCAGGTTAACCAATGCCACACTTTTCAGGTTTTTTAAAAAAAAAAAAGAAAATTGCACTCCATTCATTGTGATGTAAATCCTACAGTAGAGCAGCTCAAAGGACAACTCTGAGCAGGTTCATCCTCGGTTTTTATCTCTGTTTTACCAGGACCAGAGAGGTCACCCAGTGGTCATCTTTTTTCTGCTTTAATTCTCTGATTAAACTGGCAGTTTTTAAATGTGTAGAACACAGCTTTCTGTAGCTTCTGCAAGATTTTTATTTTACTTTTTCTTGTGTCACAAGTCCAAACGTTTGAAATAAAAAAAAATTTAAAAAAGCGATGAAATGAGAAGTACAAGCCACATGTCCAAACGTTTGAAATAAAAAAAAAAGCGATGAAATGAGAAGTACAAGATGACAACCCATTTATTTAGTAATACATTCTGCAAACTAGAAATTTTATTCAAACTTCAAAGGCTAAAAAATGAAAGAAAGGAGGGTTCAATCAACAACACAAATAGTACAATTTAGTTCTGGGAACAAAGCTTTTTTAGACAGTTTCTCTCTTTTTTTTCCCACCATTCCTTTGGAGATCCAACATAATACAAAATATACAGTTATTGTATTCTGTAAAATCACTCACAGAGGCCTCTGAAGCATTTGAATCAACAATGACAATACTTATCTACAGCACTCTAAAGCTATCGTTGAATGTAATTATAAATATATATAGCAGACATGAATGTATGTTCGCACATTTCTGAATGCTTACGAGGTTACCATGTTCAAACACTTGCATTTGTTAAAAGTATGACATCATCTGCAGTGGACATGTGGTGTCATTAACCAAAGCTCCATCGGGGACACACCGGGGTTACGAAGGGTGTAAGGGGACGAAAAAGATACAAACCGGCCGCGGCTCGTACGCTGTACCTAGTGAGGACCAGGGACCGGGGTCGTTTTGCTAGTAGCTGAAGTACCTGACGTGAAGGCGACTTTTGTATCTATCGACCTATCAGGGCGTAATGTCAGCAGCATCACTCCACCTCACGAGTACTTTTCGGGGGTCAACGTTAGAATTGGGTAAGGCAAATCGGTGAGCTTATTCGTGAGCTGAAAAAAGGTCAGCAAAGTGAGGCTCAGGTGGCCCGGCTTGGGGGACAAATCAACAGCCACTGCTCTGGGTCACACAGTAAACGCCACAACTGAGGTACATCCATATGTACAAGAGGGCGCAAGCATTTTTAAATCTCTTAAATTGAAGCCAGGTAGTATTCCATACAAGAATATACAGGATGCGTTGTTCCAGGCAACCGGAGGTCACTCGGTAAATAGCTTTATAATCTTTTCCTTTTTTGTACAATAACAATTCTGAAAAGAAATCGACTGTACAGATGATCAGTGCATATGACTATGACCAATTAGTCTCACCCATTTCTCCCACATCTGCGGAAACATTAAGTGTCCACACAGTTGAACAGGTGACCATCCGATGGCGCTAGTTGAGGCCGATCAGCTTATAATTCAACGTCAATAGTGTTCCTACTAATAAAAAATAGGTTTATTAGCTGTGTTATTTTTTTCGGGGTTTTTTTTTTTTTTTTGGTTTTGGTTTTTTTTTTTTTTAAACATCACTACACAAATTTTCAGTCAAATACTGCACATGAGCACAGACTCACCCCACTCTACAGATCACAGGGAGGAGTTAGTGGAGGACCATTAGAAAAAGGCTCTGGTTTTTGTGAACTGCTGTTAGAACTGGATCTACATACATCACACAGGAAAAAAAAAAAAAAACAAGTAAAACACACTTCCTATAATGACAATGAGGTATTTCAGCTCAAATAAGAATGGATGCCAGGGCTTTTTTTTTTTTCCTCTTTTGGGGTTAAATCAGTTCCAGGGAATGGGCAACATTAAAGGATGAGTTACATTTAACCCCCCCAACAAAACAACACGACCAGTCCCAACCAAGCCAAAATCAATGTCTGCTCACAATCAAACTATAGATGTTTTGTAGTAAAAATAAATTTTAAAAAATCATTTTTAAATCTGTTTGCAGGCCGAGTCTGTTATAAAACTGTTATTAACCAGCATGAGCCGTTGGCCGGGGTTTGAACAGTTTAGAAAAGCGCGGCAATGACGGCTTTGAAAGATGCATGTAAAGTGTTTTATTCATCAAGCTTTAAAATAAAAAAATAAACAAAAAAAGACATGGAAATATCCTATAAGGGTCATCAACACCGACCAGGTGTGCAGTAAGCAGCTGGTGCTTAAAACAGTTTGATAAGAGACGTTAGTGAAGTCACTAAACAAACACAGTCAATGCAGCACAAAATCAAAGAGCTTAGAGCTGAAATATAAACCGATTCATTGGAAAGAATAAAATTAAAACAAGTTCCGTTTCCTTGAACACTGATTAAAGTGAGATAACATTACATGACGTGAGCACAGTGTGCATATAAGTACAGGTTAAGCATTGGATTAGGAAGAAAAAAAAGAAAATGTCATTTTTACACTAAAAATCTTTTATAAGGTTGTAGTTTTCACGTTTTTGTGGAAATAATGTTTTGCCATGTTTTAATTACTTCTAATTGACATTTTTGGAAGTCTGAAGGTACTCGGAGTATTTTTCAATGTAGGAGCCAGTTTATCTTTAAAGTCCATATATTAAAAGGAACAAAATTAGGCGATAGTTCAAGTTTTTGATGTTTGAGTAACTTTTTACATTATGATCCAATTTAAGGGAAATTGGGCAACAAAGCATGGCAGGAGAGGTCACACAGTATCGACTTTGGGACCGTGTCCTCATCTTTGCCACATTTTAAAAATGTCCATTTCTTATATATGTGGTATCTATTGTGGTTGTAGAACAAAAAATCTGTTGTCAAACAGAGATGAACTCAACAGCACCACTAGTGGTCAAAAACTCCACAGAGTACCTTAAAAGACAAACAAAAGTACAAAATTAGAAATAACCAATACAATTACAATTTTTTTACTCCTCGAATAATTTTTTTTGATTTTTTTTATATATAGACTTTGTTGTTACAAAATGCTTTTTGGTAGCGTCGCAGCTAAAGCATGTTAGGATGCAGCCTCTTCAGGATTACATGGAAAGTTAAAGTCTACGCTTTTAAGATTTCGTAAATTGCTCCCCACCACACAACTCGCTGTGGTGACATCGTTAGGATTGTCCATTTTAATAATTTAAGGATTACACACTTTTAGTACATTAGATTTTTGATATACATTATAAAAAAAAAACTAAATCCTCAGCGTTGCTGTGAAGGATACCATCATGATCAGAGGGAAAACATTCACCTCAACATACCAACACACACCAGAATCACACATTTGCTCCATGGCAAAAAAAAAAAAATTAACTCAGGTGACATAATTATTATCATAATTGAAAATTTAAGTCAATATACTGTATACGTATATACATATATATAAAACTCCAACAGTGTAATTTTAGAACAAAAAAAAAGGTAAAAATGAAAATTGAAAAAAAAATAAATCAATTTCTCTTCACGAAACATGTCTACCGCTGTGTGTGTGTGTTTGTTAGATGCAGGTTGAATCGATGACGGGGGGGTTGGGGGGGGTGTTGAGTTAAAAAGTGAAACACTAAACACTGAAGCTATAATGTCCTGTGGCTTTTGGCGGCACTAGAGCAGGTTTTCAAGCAGAGCAGAGCAGGAACCCAGGAGTGAGACACAATGACAGGAGCTCACTGTAGGTTTAAAGATTTGTTCTTGGTGGTCAAGTCCAAACGGGACTGGGTTCCCTATGTTTAACCTCATAGTGGGTGATGTTGAAGTTAAAAATCAGTTTGTACCACATAAAAGCACTGAATGAGGTGGAAAACAAAACTTGGCATAGTCTGATAAAAAAAAAGAGCTAAAAAAAGGTGGTGGTAAATCATATGGCAGCCACGGTGGGCACTTGGAGCACGTAATGTTTACATATTTATAGTCAAATATGACACAAAAGATGCTGAAATTAGTCGAGTCCTGACTAACTACAAGCCACTGTACACCATGAGTACATTTCTGACTACTTGTGTAATCTCAGATTACAATATAGTGCTGATATATACTGTATGTAGCTTAACATTGTTCAAATAGCTTAACTCTGTTAGCCGTAGCATTTGGGATTAGGAAGTGGAGGGAACCTGTGACAAAATGGCAAACGGTGTGTAAGCAGTGGGGTCGTTCCCTTAAACTCCAGCCTGGTCTGGTGTCTGAACTTCAGCAAAATCAAATTAGACTCACACCAAAGGATACAAACAAACACACATGCGCTCATACATACAAACAAACAAACAAGCACCCGCGACACGCTGGCAAGTATCTATCTGCACAGACAAACGTGTTACCAGGGGGAAGTTTGTTGTTGTTGTTGTTTTAATCTGACGCCTAAAAAAAAAAAAAAAAAGGTTTTGCTTTACACTTTCCAAAATGATGGAAAAACACTTTAAAATTAATATTTGCGCATGTACAGAAAGCCGCTTACAAAAATAAAACAATTAAAAAAAGCAAAGGGAAAAAAATAATTAGGATTTAAATGGTTTGATATAGAGCTTACTGTGCTGTCAACTATACAATTTACCCGTTTCTTTAAGAGACTAACTGAAAAAAAAAAAAAAGGAAAGTGAAAGCGCAGAGACATTGTGCCTGGAGGACAAGCAATAATATTCACTGAAGAGACATTTGTTAGAATTTGCAGAAGAGCAGGAAAAGGCAGATAGTGCATAAAGGTTCTCTTTTTCATTTCTTTCATTTTTTAACTTAAAATCAAGCTGCATTAGATACAGGCTGTTTGTACAGGACAATTGCACTTCACAAAAACAGAAATATACAAACACACGAGGAAATGTGAATCAAATTAATTACAGCAAAAACAAAATTACTACTTAGGCAGATTTTTTTTTAAACAAAAAAAAAAGAAAAGAAAGAAAACTTTGTGGACTCACTTGTTATGGGTTACTTTAGAAGAGAGTATTTAGATGAGTGAACAGAAATGGGAGGACAAGACAGTGAGGATCCTGAACTCCAGAGTGGACTGTTGCTGCACTTTTCCAGGTTTGTGTGCATGCAAATCTTCTTCCTCCTCTTCCTCCTCCTCCTCCACTTCCTCCTCCTCCTCCTCCTACTGCCATGACATTCCCTTCTTAGAAACCAAAAGCTCAGAGTGACGGCGAGACAGACTGCTGAGCTGAGCTGCTGTGGGTCTTGAGAGGATGGTGGTTTGTAAACTCTATGGTGTGTTAGTGGTAGGAGGTTGTGTTACCACATGTCGTCTGTGGACGCAGAGTCCTTAATAAGAAAGGAGAGGAAGGAAAACCCTTCAGACTCTGACTCTACACCCATGAGATCTCTATCAAGAACTGGACAGGTTTCAGCATGTACTCCTGGTCTTTGGTTCAACCTTTACTGCAGTAGCTGATCATGTTAAATACATTACTACGTGTACACGATTGGAGAGCAGTAATAGTTACCAAAAACAACAGTGTATTTACTTTTATAACTAAAGATCCTGAATGTTGACACCTTATGGAACTGCAGGCCTTGCACAAAACTTTTTGTGTGTATATATATATATATATATATATATGTGTATATATATATATATGTGTATATATATATATGTATATATATATATATATATATATATAGAACATAAGGTGTGTTTTGAAAACTTCAAACTACTTCCTACTACATCAGAACAGCAACACACAGACTGTTCTACTTGTTATTGTCAATACTCGAGTTATTGTCTGTGTAGGTTCTCAGTCATTCAGGTCATTTAATTCACAAAACAGTTACATCGAAAGCAACTGGACAAAGTAGGTTTGTTTTTGAAGAGGCTTCTTCAGTTCAAACTGTCTTTCTGACAAAGAATGTAATTTTTTGTTGACTATGAACGATGATGGTTGATGTAACTCGTCCGTTTCATTACTCTGTCCTGCAGATACTTGAATTAAAAAAAAGAAAAGATCGGTTCTCTGCCAAAGCTACAGTATTTGTAAAGGATGTCACATGAGTGGCTGCCATACTGTTGATAACTACATTAAGTGACACATTATCAGGAAACACCATGTGAGCACAAGAAAGGGGCCGGGGACAGACTGGCTCATGTCAAACACAAGCATGAAGAATTATAGAGAATGAAACAGAAGATGATTATTTTATATTTTAGAGGAAAGATTTTCAATCTCAAAAGAAGTTTTTCTGAAAGTTTTCCTCAAATCCCTGAACAAAAATCCCGTAACAGACAAATGAGCACTGGGCAAAAATATTGTACGTAACAGACAAATGACCAAATGAGCACTGGGCAAAAATATTGTACAAATTTGCCACACACCCTTAAAATGGACAACATTGTTTGTAAATGTATCATCTGTTTGTGTTAACTTCTATTTTCACACTTAGAAGGAGTTGATGTTGATGATGCATTAGATAAGTAACAATAAATTGGCTGGTTTTTCAGGCAGAATCCTAGTGTTGTACATCTTTCTCCTATTTCCTGAAGACACATCTCCAACAACAGAGCTAGACAAAGAAATCAACTGGAGTTCTTATTGGAGTGCAGCTCTGCGTGTCACTTCCTGCAGTATCAGTAGGACAACAATGTTTCCTGTATGTTAATTTTACATCATTGTAGCTTTTGTTCACTGCTGTGTTGGGACTTTGCCTGTTTCATTCAAACTGAAAATAAAAAAAAAGAATAAAATAAAAGACCAAAAATACTTAGTGTTGCTTCTGAGAGCTCTGTCAAAGCTGAAACTTACTCCAACAGAATTGTTTGTCATTATAACTCAGAGTGGTTAAACTGCCATGTGTTTGTTTTTTTTGGATTTTCTAGTATTTAGTTTCTTTCCCGAAACTTTCCCAAAACAACAACATGTACAACAAGAAAAGAGAGAAAGAGCAAAGATTTGTGCTTCAAAATGTCAAAACTCAAACCGCGTGGAGTCTGAGTCACTGATTTTCTATTTACTGTAATATGCAACATTTTCAAAATGATACATAAATACCGAGTTTCCTTGAAGTGGCCGAATACAAATGCCTTCATGTAAGTTTCTTCAACTGTAGCTGTTATGCTATAACAACTTAAAGGTAATACGCAACAGCCACATCCTTAGAAAGCAGTTACCACGGAGATATGGAGGCCAAACCAACAAAAACTCTTTACAGTTTCATTGTGCAAATTAAATTAATTCCAAAGAAGAAAAAACATTTTGGAACTAATTTAAATTTCCTAAAAAGGTTTGTTCAGGCAAATTCATTTACTTGAACCCATTCATTCCGACGTTCTGCTGATACAGTAGGTTGATGTGTGCAGACGAGTCAGACTTTACACAAATATAACAACAAATTGCCAGTATTTCACGGTGAAGGACGAAGATGTTAGGAGATAGAGTCAACATATTTCACGGAAATTTAAAAGCAAAGTATTTGAGTAGACAAGGGTGCCACCTTTGTGTTGTGTGTATAAAAGGACTGCTGAGAAATGCTGCTTTCCAAATACAAGAGAATGCCATTTTTTTTCACTTCACACAAATGTCAGATATTGATGATTTAACGTATTAGCTTGTTTACTAATTACTGAAAACATCTAATGAGGGAGAATGAGCCTTTTTCTGCACATCTCTTTTGTCAAATCTAAGCCAGGCTGTCTAACGACAAAATGACTCTGAACATGTCTTTTGATCATAATTTGTCAGTTGAATATGTTAAAAAAAATTACAAGGATGCACAGAATTAGTTTGTTCATAAATGTCAGCGTGCATATTCTAAACAAAGCACACCTACTGGCAGTTAAAGGCGGGCAGGGATACTCACTGTGTCATCACTCCGGTAAGGGTTGAGTTTGTTGTAGACTGCTTCAATAACACTTCTCCTAAAGGTGGGAAAATGAGACAAATATGACATTATATATTGCAGTAAAACTTCAAGTGAAAGAATGAAAAGGGATGAAGAGTTCAAGTTTGTCTGAGGAGATTACTCACTTGCTTGCCAGCTCTCCTCCAGGAGGAAGGTTGGGGATGCTCTCAGATGCTAACGTTCGCATGACGTGGACCAAATCTGGGATGCCTTCATCACCCTGCTTTTTAATGATTTCTGTTGAAAAACAAAAATTACTTTTTTACTTTTTGTAAACGTATGTGAATGTTTAAAATGGGCCTATATCTAAATCTGTAAGTGTAACTTAAGGATAAGAAAACTACAATTCTTTAGTGATGTGTGAAAAAACATTCATGCAGTGTATATGTATGTGTATATATACTATATATCAATATAAATATATATATCCATATATATATATATACACACACACACACTTTTAAAATATATGTAGTAGGCCCCTTGGACTGTGTTATTAACCAACGTATGAATTACTTTTCAGTCAAGTGTGAACATTTTGTGTGAACAACTTGTTTCATCTACCTTCTACCCTGGCTTCCAGATATTTATCCAGCTCATTTTCTCGTTTCACTGCTTCTGGAGAAACCTTCGGTGCTCCAGGAAAGCAGATTAACACAACACTCATATTATCCCGACTTCCCTGAAGAAAATAAAACAAAAACACATCATGTAAATCAACAATAAAACTTAAACCAATATGCAAAAAAATTTGGTTTGTCCACATGACATACCTTATACAAACACGTGTCAACGATTTCATTGCTGACTCTTTCGAGATCATCTGTCACCTCCAGCCTTGATCTGACAAAGTCACAGAGTTCCTCATTGGCCATGACGTCCCAGATGCCATCACAAGCTAGTATAATGAATTCATCTTCTCCTTCACATCGCTCTATTGCATACACCTCAGGTTCAGGAGAAACCAGCTGTTCCGTTGGACCTTTCCCATGAACGCACTTGTAGTCGAAGTCACCCAGAGCTCTAGAGACAGCTAATGACCCATTCACTCGCTGGATCATGACTGAGCCTCCAGCGTTCTGAATTCTTTCTTTCTCCAGTGGGTTACTGGGTTTGTGATCCTGCGTGAAGAAGTGCACAGCTCCACCTCTGCTGAGGAGCCCCCTGGAGTCACCACAATTGATGAAGTAGATATGGCTTGGTGATATCATCACTCCCACTGCGGTGGAGCCACTACGGTCCACACCGTGTTTCTTCTCTAAGATGGTTCGCATGTGTTCATCAATCTGCAGGAAGCCTGTGCGGATCCCAGTCTTCACGTTGTCCACTGAGGTGTCGTCCTGCAGAGCACTCTGGAAGTCTGAGTTGCTGGTGATGTGCTCCAACAGGTGCTCACAGCAGTACTTAGCCACCTGAGAGCCAGCATGCCCATCGTAGACAGCAAAGAATGACCAGAGGTCCAGGCCTTGGGGCAGTCCAATTACTGCTGTGTGTGCATCCTCCATCTCTACCCTCCAACCCTGCATGCTGCTCAGCCCATATCGCAGGCTGTTCCCTTCACCACGGGAATTATACTTTTCCATCTTTGGTTTGTCCAGAAATGCACCCATTGTGTCCTCTTAAAACCTGCAACATAAATATAAAAAGTGTTAATTGGATTCTAGTCAAAACAGAGACGTACTTCGTCACTTCAAAAAATAAATTAAGCAACAATGTGCAAAAATTGAACTTCAATGCAGAAAAAAAGGTAGCATATGCAGGGCATCTAACAGATTTGATAAGAAAATAATATATATATTTAGACTGTATCAGTGGCATTATATATAGTGTGCTGATCTGATTAATGTCTGTTTCTTTCTTGTTTAAGTTGTCAGGATGTTACAATGAAAATCAAAGATGTGGCTGTAAGTCAACTATAAAACTACCAGACGCTCATAAAACAAACATGTGGCTGTAAGTCAACTACAAAACTACCAGACGCTCATAAAACAAACTGTTACTTGTGTATTTAAAAAGGGGAGATGTACTAGTGTTTCCCCTTAATTCATTTTAAAAGTACATCAAAGTAAATACTCCTTACAAAAAAAACAATGTTATTCGTGTCAGTTCGTGCTATTGGCAGTGTATTACTATTTAACCAATGAAGGTCAAATGAGTACACCAGAAACTATGTCCAAATATAGAAGTTAATGTGGAATAGGTAAAAATACAACAGATGCACCAGCTCTGTACTCCAGGTGACAGTTCAGCAAGGGTCACATACAAAACACATTAACCTCATTTAAAGTAATTGTTTTTGTTTTCAACTAAACCTAACAAGTATATTATTCGTTTATAGGTGTACATTAGTGTACACAGAAAAAGAAATAAAAAGCAAAGGTGTGACAAAGTGTACACACAACTACCCAAATGATGAGACAGAAAATCTGTCTAAATAAACATGAAAAAGTGTTAAAACGCAGCATTTATGGTTGCATATTGTGGTTGTGCTCTTAAAGCTCGCCAAGGTCGCAATTGAAAGGATTTCTAGGGGAAACACTGAACATTTGTAAAAGCTGTAGGAGTTAGGTATTTCACAGACAGCTGAAACCTGTAAGGCTGCACGCAGATTTCTTTGGCTATTTTCTGTGACCAGCTGGCAACATCCAGGACAAATATACACACCATGAGTGAAAATACTTTTACACAGTGCATACACCTTAGAGCAAAAGAAAGATGAAAATATTTAAAGCGTATCAGGCCTTCATTAATGAAGGACACGTTTTAGAATTAATCTTAAATAGGCTTTTTTTCCCACTCAACGGTAGCAAACGATTAGCATGTTGGGGCTAAGTTCTCACCCCTGCTGTGGTCTAAAAATAGTATAGGACATTTTTACAACACTTTTGAACAGTGTGGATCAACTCAGCCCTCAAACGGATAAAGTTTGCTATGACAAACATAGACATGAATCCTGATAAACATACACCGATGGTTAGCATCTTTCTGACCTTCGCAATACAGAAAACTCATTCGCTCGTGGAAGTGATAATTGCAGCTATCGTTACGTCCCCGCAGTGCTAACGCGGGCTAAGTAAATGACCAGCACCTCGATTAAACTGAATTTCTGGAGACGTAAAAAAGCCTGTACCAACTATGACGCGTTGGTGGGCTGTTTAATGACAACCCGGTCAGCGAGGCCAGATATAAATAATGTATTAACGCTGGGGAAACAGAAATAAAGTTCTAACAACAGTCCAAAAAAATTAACTGTATTAGTGCCTAAATACAGGCCGTGACCCTTGTCCCTTACAGCTAACTTTGACAGGCCTCCATCTGCCAATGCTTTCTAACGTAAATCCTGTCGGCCTTGCTAGTTAACGGTGGCTACATGCTAACCTAGCTTGCTATCTCACTACATTTCCTTCAGTAATACACGCAAGAAATAACATTTTAGCACTTACCAAATTCTTAGATTAGGGCTCAACAGAAACGGAAGCTGCGAGTTTGATGAGGAGTGACTGTGCGAACTACACTCCGAGGAGGGTAGACCGACGAAACTAAGGGCTTAGCGTAGGGTAAGCTAAGCTACGATAGCCAGTTCTGTAGCAATGGCCAAGCGTCACTCAAGACTCGCTGCATAGACAATATCTACGTCCCTCTAGACGCCAGTGTCGCATTACATTATCTCAGCTGGCGACATTGACTGTATGTGGCCTGACGGATTTTGGTGTAAAGGTGTGAGTCGTAGTTCTGAGTGGCCAAGCCAGGGGGAAGCTGAAACGGTTGTCCCAGCCTCTCCACTTGACAGCTTGACAGCTTGCTAACCAACGTTAGCTGCCTAGAAAGGACCCGGATGTTGCAGGTTGCGTTACTCGAAAACATGACATCATCCCTGAAGAGTTAAGGCTGTGTTCAGTACATGAACATGGGTGGGCGGACATACGCATACACGCGGGCGCGGGCGCACGCACACATATACAAATACATACAGGTATATATAAACGTTAAATGCAAAAAAAAAATGTAGTGTGGGAAAACTACTGTCACAGTGTTACACTGTGTTCACTGTGTAACACACTCTCGCCCGATGACTGCTGGGATTAGCCACAACCCTGAAAAGGATTAAACAGGACAATATGAATGAATGAATGAGTCATGTAGATGTTATGTAATGGGATCTGGTGTGAAAAGTGGCCTTAAGGTTAAATACGGCCCACCAGTAGGTCTCCATCATATTGAGTACGTATAGTATAATAGCTGAAGGTTGTAGTTCTTTACTGAAATTTTGAAATCTGTAATATTGAGTCTGTGCCAGATTTAAATGTGGCAGAAAATGGCCCCCTCTATTGCTTCTTTGACACAATGTACAAATCCTCATGTCAGGCAGTTGGAATAATTGGAAATTCAATTTGTTCACTATAGACTTTGCATTGCAGTGTTTCAATTTTTTATTTATTCCTTCTCATGTTGTGTTTTACTTGTGTGGATATAACCATCACACGAGTGCAAGTGTAGTGGGGTAAAATCCAGGTGAGTTACCACTGTGACACATATCAGGACAAGACAAAAAGGTAACGGTGTTCACAGAGAGCACAATAAAGTGAAGAACACAAATAAACACACAGATGAAATCCAGTGGATTATTTTTGTCTTTTCTTAAGTACAGTTTTTTTCATACACTGCCAAACAGGGTTGTGTTCTGTAAACGTAAAACAAGAAATTGTGAGAAATGAACTATAAAACAAAACGTTTATATCACCATTTACCCATTCATTATCACACATCGATAAACGAGTAATACTGCTTCCGGTTTACTTCCGGGCTTTACGCGCCAACTATACCGGACTTTTATTTTGCAAATAGTTTAGCGGAAAATGCTGTGCATTTGGGATTAGCACTTCGTCTAGTATGGATCTTTCTATTCTTACCATTCTGTGGTATTTTTCGTTACTTTATTTAGTAATACACATACTGTGTTTCATTTTCGCCGATGGAGACTTTGAGTTGTTATTGGCCAGTTTTAAAGGGCGACGTCCAGGTAAGATACTAGAGTAAAGGTTGTCTCCGACTTATGCTGTATGATAGATAGATACATATTCAACAAGGGTCACATACAAAACACATTAACCTCATTTAAAGTAATTGTTTTTGTTTTCAACTAAACCTAACAAGTATATTATTCGTTTATAGGTGTACATTAGTGTACACAGAAAAAGAAATAAAAAGCAAAGGTGTGACAAAGTGTACACACAACTACCCAAATGATGAGACAGAAAATCTGTCTAAATAAACATGAAAAAATGTTAAAACGCAGCATTTATGGTTGCATATTGTGGTTGTGCTCTTAAAGCTCGTCAAGGTCGCAATTGAAAGGATTTCTTGGGGAAACACTGAACATTTGTAAAAGCTGTAGGAGTTAGGTATTTCACAGACAGCTGAAACCTGTAAGGCAGCCCGCAGATTTTTTGGCTATTTTCTGTGACCAGCTGGCAAACAAAACAAAAACTAAAAACAAAACAACATATGGTACTTTTCAGTTCATTGGAGATCAAGCAACAACTGTATAAATGTTGATGTCAGAGGGCTCAAATATAGTCTTATGTACATAACGGGTCTTATGTGCTTTGCTTAAAAAAAGAAAAGTCCTCCAACTTAAACTACTTTAACTGGTTCTTTTTAAAATTGGTTTTAGAACCAGTTAAAAAAGAACATTTTTTGTACAATTTTTCTAGGTTATTCCATTTAAAACTCCCCCAAATGTGAAAATGTAATGTGGCAGTGGTTAATGCATAACATTTTCATCTGGTTGTATGAATCAGAGACCATACTGAAAGGACAGGTGGTCTGGGTCACTGGAGCTTCCAGTGGTATTGGAGAAGAACTGGCCTACCAGCTGGCAAAGTGTGGTTCACGTCTGATCCTGTCTGCTCGCCGTGAGGATGAGCTAACCAGAGTGAAACGTCTATGTGTAGGTGAGAAAACCTTCACTGCGTTTCTGGTTTAAAACATGAAAAAAATAGTAATGTATTTAGTGACAACTCTGTTGTTTCTTCTTCAAACCGTGCACATTTGTTTTATAAATCTTTTACCCATTTTTGTCCAGCCTGATTGAATTGAATCTTTTTCTACTTCCAGAGTCATCCAACCTCAAGGATGAAGATATTTTTGTTCTTCCACTTGATTTGCTGCAAAGGGAAACTCATGCTGAAAAAACAAAAGCAGCAATCCAACACTTTGGGCGTGTAAGAATGTTTTCTTACTAATTTTTTTTTCACACTTATCCCAACGTTTAATAATAGATAGATTAAATATCTTACCCTAACCGTATCAAGCAGCTGTGAACTCACCACCATAGATGCATTCATCACTTGATACTGGCTGGAGGAAAGACTTTCCACAACAGGAGCAAAAAACAGATGGTTTCCAAAGAGGAGACATTCACCATTCATTCATTTTACCTTGAATATTTTTCCTGTCTCAGTTTCCATCACACTTGTACATTTTCAGGTTGATATTCTAATTAACAACAGTGGGCGGAGTCAACGCTCCCTGTTCATGGACACCAGCATTGATGTCTATCAAGGCCTGATGGAGCTCAATGTCCTGGGCACAATCTCCATTACCAAGCAGGTGCTGCCTCACATGACAGAGAGAGGAAGTGGAGGCATAGTGACAGTGAGCAGTATTGCTGGCCTCATTGGAGTGCCACTGTCAACAGGGTACGCAGCCAGTAAACATGCTCTACAGGTAAAAACAAATTGTTGTTCTGTTTGGTATTTTGAACTTCCTTCAAATCAGGAAATGTTCAATAATGTATTTATTTTCATTAGGGTTTCTTCAAATCCCTCCAATTTGAACTAAGTGAATATCCAAACATATTCATCAGCACAGTTTGTCCAGGACCAGTCATGTCTCAAATTGTACAAAATGCCTTCACAGTGGACCTCAACAAGGTAGTACCTGGTTAGAATTGTGGGGGTTTTTTTCCCTTCAGCTCTGTTTGCTGTGTCGTGTGGATCTGTCAAACACTTTTTTGTGTGTTGTGTTGAACCAGCCTGTATCTTCACCTGGTGACCAGAAACACAAGATGCCAACGAGTCGCTGTGTGCGTTTAATGCTTGTGGGAATAGCCAACAATGTCAAGGAAATGTGGATCGCACAACAGCCCTTCCCGCTGATGTTCTACCTGCGGCAGTATACGCCAACATTTGCCATGTTCATAACACAGAAGATGGGCAAGATCAGGGTGGAGAATTTCAAAGCTGGTCTGGTAGGTAGAACATTTTTTAATGTTTTGAACATGAACCACAAGATGGTACAAACAGACACTGTTGGTGATTTGTAGTAATCCAGCAGACCCTGAACTGGGAGAAGAAAAAAAAATGAAGTTTGTCAGAAAGTGATGAACAGAGACCTCAGCTGTTGCTAATCCATCTTGAGATTAACAGAAAAGATTGTCAATAAAGAACAAGAGGGAACACACAGACTGAGCAGTGTTTTTCTGGAGGCCTCTTCTCCACAAATACAACAGAGGGCCAGGCAGAAACAACACACAGCATTTCATTAGGCAGCAGCACTGACTGTCACCTTCTTATTTTTTCAGGATGCTGACACAGCATACTTCACTAAGCCCAAAACTGCCTGAAAAGATGAGCCTGAAGATCCCATCCATCCATCCATCCATCCATCAGCCTGAAAAGATGAGCCTGAAGATCTCATCCATCCATCCATTTTCATCTGCTTATCCGTTACCGGGTCGCGGGGGCAGCAGTCGCCACCCAAATCACATTGCACCGTACCAACCGCCCTAAACCTTCCTGCGGGTGGTGAGTCCACTGGAAGGTACCAACCGCCCTAACCGGGACTTGAACTTGCCCAGGAGGTGAACCCTGGGGTTCCACACCAATGACAGAGACATTGGCTCTGGGCCAAAGCGCCTAAATCCTAAGATTATTATTTGTATTACATTCCATATGTTTTGTACCAGTGCTTTCATTTGAACGACTTGCAAATAGTAAATAAAACCCACTTGAATCCACTCACACATGGTTCATATGGTAAGTAAACCATGACTAATCTCTTTTGCGAAGGAGTTTTATTATAAGTATATACACTTTCACATATAAAAATGAACAGTATGTACAAGAGACTATAGACATGTAGGGGTTTTTTTCTCCGTTGTAAACAAGTGTAAACAAAACAGTAGCACTAAACACAACACACACACAATAAATCATACTCAAGGCACATCCTTGACACTTTTAGGAAAACTCATATTCCATTAGTGGAAGTAGAGCCTGATATTTCTGATAAGTCTAAAAAGTACAATAAAAGACCAGAGGTATTCTTTGAGATTGAAGGGCAGGGACGTTGGGAAAATGTTCTGACTTTTTCTAAACACAGTTATTAATAAAATGTTGTTGTTGGACAAATTTAAGTTTTCAAACCGTTTAAGGATAATATTTTTTGTCAGATTTATAAATCCTGTTTTAGAAATCTGTTTTTGAGAACAAAGTGTTTTTATATCACTTCTTAAAGCACCACATAGGTCAAAACATGGGACAAAAGCAAAGTCTCTCCTTCACAAGTGGACAATGACTCGTCTGAACTCAAGATTTTGCTGGTTTTTACATCAACGTCATGACAATCAAGAACATCAGAAGAAGGAAACTGGCTGCAGGGGGCGGGGGGGTAACAGAAATAACTCCTCACGTTCAGAGGCAGGGGAAGTGAAGAGGGGCTGAGGAGTAGATGGGGTATCCTAAAGGAGGATCGGCCGCCTGAACAGTTAAGTTTCTCAACATGAATGGGTGGGCCTGGATGCTGTACCGCTCCTCGTCGTCATTGGTGGCATACAGAAGCTCCCAGGAAAGGTTTGCCCACTGGCCTCGCACCCCCTCTGCATTCAGACGGCCCACCTGAACCAGCTGCTCCTGCAGGGACAGGACTCTGCCGGTGTAGGTACCCTGTGGACGTGGACAACAAGACACACTTCTTACTCTGGTTGGGAGCTGAATGAATTAATAAACGAAAGCTTCTCCATCTGATACTGTTGATATGTATATTTATTAAACTGTTTCTCAAATATAGACATGAATAAATCCATTACTAAATACTTGATACACACCTTGTAACTAACGAACAGCAACTGTGTGCACTGGTATCAGTGCGACAGGAATGCATTTATAAAGAAAACAAAATTAAGTTGCCTCAGGTTTGAAAAAACAAAACAAAAAATGTATTTGTCTTGTCGTAGCAGCAGCAGATGGTAATGTTAAAAATTATCCTAAATTTGAATTAGCACTTGAGGTTCTTAAAAATGTTTTCTGCTCTTCCTTTATTAAATTCAAATATGAATTGATATTTGAAACCAGGAAAAAAAAATTTGAATCAATAAAAATGATTTAAACTGATGTCAATACAACTGCAGCCCTAACTGAAATTCACATTAAATTTTCTTTTTTGGTTTACATGAAGGTATGATCTTTAACAGACATGTTCGTAATGAATATGACAAGCTGTTTGTGAACTTACCATAGCCAAGTCATGACCCAGAGAAAACAGGAAGGGCTTCTCCTGGAGGACGCTGTCATGCCAGCCTTTCTCTGTTACCAGGCCGATGTACCAGTCCCTTTCATATTCCTCCAGAGTGTTGAACAGCTCCTCCAGGGACTCCATGGGCCCCAAGCTCGCTTGATCAAATAGTAGCTTAAAACTAAACCTGAAACCATACGAGTCCAGTGTGAGAAAAGGTAGAACACTTTAAGTGCATTTATAGGTTAAGGTGAAGAGAGTATAAAAGAGAGAAGAGAGTACATTTACCTGAAAGCTTGGAGGGAAAGCTGATAAAGTTCTTTACTGGAGGAAAGCCACTCCAGTCCTTCTGTCCACGGTACATCTCCACAGTACAGCCTGTAGACATAACTGGGACTGGTGAAGGCCGACTCTGCCCCGAGTGAGACGAGACAAGACAGGGCGACCTGTGCATGCAGTTCTTTCAAAGCCTCGTCCTCCTTCAAGGCTTTGGACATGTCCTCTGAGGTTTCGCTCTGCACAGCAGGCCCACAGCGCCCTAAAGTGAACCTAAACCAGTCCTCGGGAAACAGAGGCCTGAGCTGCAGCAGGCGGGAGGGCAGCAGGGGTGCAGTCCTCCATCCCGTGGGTAGGTTGAACGCCTCAGATTGAGGGCAGCTAAAGTTCAGTGGAGGGGCAGACGTTGGGCTGTCTCTGAAGACCTCCGTGCTCCGGCCTTTATCTACTGCTGGCATCCCAATGCCCAGTCCAAGAGGCTGCAGAGGCTGTAAGGCGGAGAGGGCCATGTTTTCAAAGAGACTGTCCATCTCCACAGAACCTGGCAGAGAGGCTCCAGTCTGCAGCACCGTCTGTCCTGGCTGCACCTCTGCAGTCACTAACGCCACCGTCCTCCTGGCTGGCTGAGGACCAAACAAGTCATCCTCATCTGACCAATCGCCAAAGGAGGTTAAACTGGAGCTATCCTGTCTAAACCTGAGAGAAGACACGTTGGATTCGACAATCACTGCCTCCGGTGGTTGTTTGCAGGTAGTGTGGGCCAGCTGTGAGGACTGGGACTTCCTTCCTCCAATCCCCGACCCTTCTTCACTCATCCACATAAATCCTTTGTGCCTCTGAACGCAGTATCGCAGGAGCAGCCAGACCAGCACTTTAAGAAAGTCCTCCTGAAGTTTCCTCAAGTTGTCGTGAGAATCAATGATGCCAGAGAGAACGTTTCGAGCGTCAGAGTAGACTCGAACAGCGAGGGCGGCACAGGGAGTGAGAGCGTTCCCCCAGTGCAGGTTGAAACCCTGAGTGAAACCAAGACGTTCGGGGCGCTCGAAGGCAGCCTCAAACACCTCATCCACCCTCCGGGCTTCAACCGTGTGACAAGACGTCTCCTGCAGCTCCAGACCCTGTGTCAAACCATACAACACTTGTAAATAATGGAGGACAAAGAAAAAAATATGAAAACTTTCAACATTGTTGTTTGAAGTTTTCCTGATACAAGAGTTATTTTTCCTCCAAAGGTTTTTCAAAATGAATGATACTAATACAATGCAACATGACCCTGCATTTCTTGTGAGGCAAATGCCAAAATAACAGTATTAGTGCAGTGTTTGTACAAACAGTCACACAACATACGGTAATTATTTCCCTCACTTCTGTTAAAGGCCATTTCAGTCGAATGAAAAGTAAAGTTTTTCAGTAACAAACTGATGTTGGAGAGAAACAGGAAGTGGAATTAGATACAGAATGAGAAACAAAACCCAAGAACCAACATCGTGCTTGGCTTTCCGTGTATCGTGTTTCTTTAACAAATAAAAGTCAACTTACGCAACCACATCTATGACATCAGACTGGAGCAGAACAGATAAGTCAGCTCATCTGATGTGGACGTGACCAGAGTTAATGATTCAAGGGTTATTTGTGTTCCTATAGAGTTACTATAGTGAACTGTAACCCTGCGTCACTCATTAGACTGTGCATATCCCAAACTCAAGTTTTCTTCCCTGCTGTTTGTTTGTTACTGTTAAATTCTGAGGGATTACCAGACATATCATAGTCAAATTCCCATCATGTGCTGACACCATAGGCCAGTAAAGCAAATTCTGATTCTGAAAAAGAGCAAGTGAAGTGTACACAGAGTACTACAGAATTACACAGTATGACAAACAATTGAGGGTTTTCCGTACTGCCTGTAAACGAACAAAAAGTAAAAAAGAAAATCAAAATTACACTTTCTGTAAAACCAAAACTGAACAAAAATACAACCTGACTTCATTCTGCAGCATGGAAATATTGTCCTAGTTTTTTTTTAATTATTCCCACAAGTAAAATTAATCAGTGACAGAGTGACACAGAGTCTGTAATAACATTGTGTTTGTGTTTGTGCTGCATATTCTGGCCATGTTTAGAAGTGCAAAACTAGATAAAAAGAAGGGGAAAAAAAACAGTACCTTAATATTTACTGTACAGTAGCCATATCCTCGCTCCAGGATCATTATCCAAACCATACGGTCCTGGAAGCGGCCAAGAAAATGAGAGCCCGGGGCTAAAGAGCCTATGAAGGGAAAGACGTAAATACATCATTAATGTGTTTCACATGTTGTAGTTGTGACTTTTAAACTGACAGAAATGAATAACAGAACACACAACATACATATCCTGCACCACAGAGGGAGTCTTGGTCAAGATCCTTTTTCATTTTGCATCATCTGTGTTTCCTTGTGCCGACTACGTGGATAAGTGGACTACGTGTTGAGACAGGAACCATGGAAGAACAGGAAGGTCATGATACTATTTTAACTGGCTGACTGTACAGGGATTTAAATATTGAATGCGTTCTCAGTCTTAGCTTTATGGTCACTTTGTGGTGAGAGAAAGAAGTTGACAGATGTGCCGTGATGAAAACTTTTTTTTTTAGGTTGACAAGTGTCTCTTGGCTCAAGGATAATGTCATCTCAGAATAGACACTAGTGCGACCTCAGGAGAGAAAGTGACACGCTGGCAAGACTCCTTTCTACAGCTGCTGTGTGAATAAAGAAACACAACACTATGCGTGAGCCGTTGTTAGACTCAGAGCAACAACTTCACTCACTGAGAGTTTGTCATCGGACACAGTCCACCAATCTCAGAGACAAAAACCGGCAGGAGACGCCGTGACGACCTAACCTCAGTGGTTTAGCTCAGTTTGACATCATTTATTACTTGTGCGGCTTTTCTCCCCTCTGACTGAGCACGATACAACGTCCTGGCAGAGTTTTCCATTTGCCCAGAGAGTATTAGACTGTAGATGGTGTGGAAACACTGTGATGTAATGAATACAGATCAGAGCTGTTTTTGTGGGTCGCTTCACAGGAACTCGACTAGATCATACCACTCGAGCTAGCATTACTGGCAGCGACTCCAGTCCCCAGTGCTGCTCCAGCAGCATTCTTCTAACTATTTAACCATATGATGGGATGCTTCGGTGCTCACTGAACTGCAGACAGGCCTGACTTGACCCATGGGCGAGGTCAGCCAGTGGCAGTCAGTGAAAACAGCATAAAAGCTCAGTTATTGTGGTATATGTAAACATGAATATATTTCCATTACAACACATTTCATTGGTTTATAATTTACTCAATAACAGGATTTTCTTAACATTTATATTGATGTGTACGTCCCTTTTTTTATGGAGTACCACATGGTTCTACTCTCAGTCCAAATATGTTTCCACTGTGCATCAGGGCACAAGGTGAAACTGTTTCCTCTTTGAATTGTTTTGCAAAATATCTACAAAATCTATCTGCTGACAAACTTTAGTCAAAGTAATGGTTTTTTTTTATCATTTCATTGACATTAGCCTGTATCAAATTTTCTTTGTTTTCTACTGCAGGCTAAGCCTCAGTGTAATGACTCAAATCTTGTTTTTTGTATTAAAAGCTCTTCCCAGAAATATGTTGAAATGATCATTTATATGTTTATTGGAATGGATTATTGCACTTTTTGCTGGTATGATGTAATCCTTTCTATAACTCCATTCAAATGGGAAATTAAAATATGTTTTTTAAGCCATTAAAGGTGTGCCTGACTTTACATAGTTAAGATAGCGACCCTGCACTTAAACTTTTGATTTTTATACATTAAAAAAATTAATAAACTTATAAATTTAGCTCTACATTATAAATAATAATGTAATCAAATTTAATATTTTCTTACAAAAAAAAACAAGACATAAAAAAAAGGATGGATAACTAACCCAGTGACCCCCTTGCGAAGGCCATCCTCATAGCCGAGGCCAGACTTCCACTCATCTGCTGGTAGAAGATGGAATCTGTACAGGGACAGGCAGTACCCACAGGCCCAGGCCAACTGCGCTGAGGTCTGGGAAACCCCACCAGGAAGATGGGCAGAGTGAAGAGGGGCAGCAGTGGGGCGGAGAGCAGGGCAGAGAGGGTCACCACAGCCAGCAGCAGAGGGCACAGAGAAGCGTTTATAGCCAAGAGTGTTCCAGCTGACTGTCGACGCTGCTTCTTCTCTGTCCACGATGTCACCAACACTGTGAGGGTGAACTTTAGTTTGGCCAGGAACTGGGTCAATCTGTCAATGACCAGGCCCACCTGAAAATAAACCACAGCCGGGTCCTAATCATCCTGTATTTATAATCGCAGCATCGGCTTTAAAGTATTATGCATGAATACACTGTTATTATACTACAGTAAAGGTATGTGTCGGCAAGTAAACACACAATGCTGTTACATGTTACATAACATCAGGTTACTAAAATCAGAACACAGGGATCTACATTTGTAATTGCACTCTGGCCATATGATATATATCGCAAAGTAAACACACGATTCTGTTACATGTTACATAACATCAGGTTACTAAAATCAGAACACAGGGATCTACATTTGTAATTGCTAGTGAAGAAATTAAAGTAAAGAAAGTAAAATTAACCAACAACATGAATATTTGCATGTTAATTGTTAATAAAAAATCAATACAGTGCTGTAAATGTTCAATACATTATCATGAATAATTTTTTTTTTAATTTTTCTGTGTATCAATATATTGTTTACACCCTTATATTATACTATAGAGGTATTGACTGTATTATGATAATCCTAAAATAAAATATCTCAGATATTTAAGTTTTAAAAGAGCTAATGTGAATTTTACAAGCATCTAAGCATCGTTTTTGGTTTACTGTAATTAACGTAGAAATCAGGGACCAATATTTCTGAGCTCACCAGAAGAAGCTGAAGTCCAGTTCCCAGGTTCTCCCACCCCTGTACCATGTAACTCCCAGCTGTGAGTCGCACCAGAACCACCACCACCATTTGGAGGAGAGCATCTTCCGAACTCTGCCACACCTGCACAGAACAAGAGCCACACTGAGCATTAAACAAACAAAAATGTAATAATAAAAAATAAGGACACTTCATTTCTTGGATTTTTTTTTACCACTCTGAAGGCTCTGGTGAATCCCACACTGAGGGAAACCCTGTGTAGGAGCTGCAGAGATTTGTCCATTGAGAGAAAAGCAACCATCGCAAAAGGAGACACTGTGGGTTCAAACACAATTTGAAAAATACAGTTACAAACCAAACAAGAAAAACGAACAAAATGTTGAATATATTAGATTAAAAATCAAACTTTTAACAAACTCACCAAGGTAAATTAGGACTCTTCTGATCGCTGCAGCTGTGTATAATCCCTTACTCCTCTGCTTGAATTTCTGAACACTGGACATCCCTTTAGGATACAGAGGGTTGAGAAATACTCCTCCAAAAATATAGGCTCCCTGGATCTCTCTGAGAGCCCAGCACAGACAGAAAAGTACAACGAGTAGGTAGCTGACAACAGCCTGGGGTCCTGTTACCAGACTGTAGGAATCAGCTGAACCCAGGAAGTGATGCAACAGTCCTGCCTCTGCTACGGCCACGAGTAACAGACTCAGATAAAAGAAAAGCTCCCTGCAGCCCAGGTTCCATCCAAACGAACCTGGAGGAGGAGGAGACACTCCTCTGCCAAATCCACGATCCTGAAACCCTGGTCTGGGACCTTTGCAGACCGTCCCAACCTGGCTGAGGTCCAGACTCAACAAAAATCCAGTGGAGATGGAGAAGATAACCACACCCAATGTCGATGGGATGAAATAATTACACACAGCTACAGCCACAGACGCACCAAACATCAACAGCAGCCTGTAAGAAAACATACGTAACAAAGACCAGTTAACACACACACAATTAAGAGCACAAATATCATGAAAGTATTGACAGAAAATATGTAAATATTCACTGTTAAGAAATACATAAAAATACATGTACTGAAAACAAAATATGACCAATTCCAGGACAGAACACTTTGACAGTGGAAAAATGATGGAGATAATATTTAGTGCAGTTATATTTTTTTTCAAACAGTTCTATAATTACTGTAATTTTTAGGGTTTAAAGCTATTGACAAAGATACTATAAAATCTAAAAAACTACTTTTAGTGTCCTTGCTATTTCTTTTTCCATTATCACCTGAGGTTAGTGGACATGGGTGAGCCTCCTAAGCCAAAGACAAGAGCCTGCTCCATGCCCCAGAGGAGCAGAGCATCCAGAGGAGGCAGCAAACCCAGGGCCCACAGTAGAGGTAGGAAGAGGAACAGCACATGGAGAACCTGGCTGGCCAGCTGGAGCTCAGGGACAGAACCTGAAAACCTGGACCACAATGCAAATCAATTATTGTGACAGAATAAAAACTATTTAAATATAGAAAAAAATAGCACCATATTGAGATATTTCAGTTACTATGACGATGTTTTTGCATCTGCTTTACCTATGAGCCAGGTCAACGGCGATGAATATAAAAATGTACAGAGGACGTGTGAGCGGGGTGATCTCATACGTGTCCTGTGCGTGGAAAGTGGCCGTCTCCGTGGCTGTGTTCACAATGAGGGAATATTCAGCTATACACAGTGTCACCCAACTTAGGACAAAGACTACCAGGGATGCTCCAATGCCACCGTAGAGCGTGGTCAGTCTGCCAAGGAACACGTACCACGTTCCAAAGCCACAGAGCAGTCCAGCCAGTACTGTGTGCAAAACCACGTTCAGTCCAAACCTCTTCCCAGGAGCAATGAACCGGAGTGTCTCTGGGCCGACACAGTGGGTGAATTCCACCTCCTCTTCATCAACCAGAGCACCAACATTCAGTGCACCCAGCCTTTCCACTGTGCCATTTCTGCGTGCAGCATACAGAGCCAGGGCCTGGACTCCCGCGGCAGCACCAAACATGAGCATGCCAGCGAGAACCGCAGCATGGAGTTCCTGCAGCAGCTGCAGCTGGCACAGCAAAGTACCAATCCCTCCAAATAGCCATGGTGTCAAGAACAGGACTGCCTGATTAACATAGACATAGGGCGGGGCACAGTAACCCAACTTGAGACGTGGACCCCCCAATATTGTCTGTGGAAAGCGCTTCCAGAAGAACTCCTGCTTGTACTCATTAAGAAGGGGCACATCTGGCCCCATTCTGACCATTCCCAACTGGGTGGGAGGTCATCTCCACGCAGGTGAGGGCAGGGTTCCATTCATCATCCTTAACACAGTGAACCTGTCTGCAACAGAACGTACAACATACAAGCATTATTATTATTTTACACAAACTGACACGTATACAATATACTGTATATATACAGGGTGTACAGGGTGTACAGGGTGTACAGGGTGTACAGGGTGTACGACATCCTAGTTGTACGGCATTTCCTGGCTATGTCGCCATATCTGATATATTTATTAATGAAATCTTGTTCCATCATCCCGATGCACAGCGTTATAGCTCGCCAACTAGATCGTGGGAAATAGTTGGCCATTAAATCAGATGAATGTTTGCCTTTGTTTACATTTGCCAGCCATACGCCATACATAGGATTGTGTCACATTTACTTTTTTTCATTTGTTTTGTTTTTTTTCGGGGGGGGGGGGTCTTTGCCCTTTATTATTACTCCCAGGCGCAAGTCAATGTTTTTATTGTCCTAGAATATAATGTTACCACTGTCTTAGCCTTGGGGAGTTACACAGATACTTATGTGCAGTATGTGAATTCAGACTTACAGCAGAACGCGAGTTACGTCGCTCCATATGAACAGAACTCGTGAATTATACGTGACCTATAATAATAAACACATCGAATATTAATACCCTTGAATATTTTGGAATTCTTAAAAACTGTAGATACATCACCTAACGGTACCCAATGTGAAGGTGAATTTAGAACTAGGAACAAACATATGCTTAGTTATTATGTTATCGTGTGTCCTATACAGTGAACATATGAAAGTGTTACTGTGTCTATATTTTAACGTCAGACCCTTTCACATGGCGTGCATAGTTAATTAAAAACGCTAAATGAATTTACCTATCATCTTTCTAATCAAAATGGACACGAAAAACCATTAGAAATAAAAAGGAGCAACATCTACAGAGTTGCCATTAAAACGTGATACACAGCAGCAGAGTGGATGAGTCTAATGTGTTAGCATCTGAGGCTGAAGCCGATAACGGGTCTCGTCTCGTATAACGAGGACATATGTTTTATATGAACGTATTGTCTAGCTTTTCTTTCTTTTACGGCTAGCTCTGTTATTGTTAGCCTACAAAGCTAAATTTGCACTGTTTAAATGCCGTTAGCTTGTTATTACCAACAGGTGAATATTATCGAGTAAGCAAATTGTAAGCAAGTGGTGTAAAATGAACCTACCGTCAACAGTACAGTATCCGACTGCGGCTACGCTGTGAATAATATGTCACGATATTGTCGCTAATGTCATATAACAAACGAAAATCGCCAACTATGACGTTAGCAACTAGCTAGTCACTGGAAAGGCAAGCAATGTCGGCATGATTCGCTGGGCGATGACAACCAATAGGAGTGAAGACGAGCCGAGAGCAAATATTCCGATTGGACCGTGAACTCTATTCATCCCACCCCTCGGCAATCACAACACCTCATCACGGTAGCAGCGACACAAAGAAAACAAAATCAACTCCGCTCGAGCCTGTGCCATGGAGACACTTGTTACAACACAAAATACCAGACACTAATGTCGACTTTTTTAGTGTAAATTAAAACAAGTTGAAATAAACTGCAAGAAATGTTATTTTATCAGGTCAATATAAAACGAAATTGTATCTACGAATAATAAATAACCATAAATAAAGTCTGCCATTTTCCTATCTATCTATCTATCTATCTATCTATCTATCTATCTATCTATCTATCTATCTATCTATCTATATCTTTTATGTGTCTCTAAATTATTATTTACTTAGATGGGAAAAGAAAAATGAAGATGACAACATGAGCAACTAAATAAACAATAATATTGACAGAGATAAGGCAAAGAAGATTAAACCGTTCTGTTTATTATTGTCATTATTATTATTATTATTTTTAAACAGAGCAGATAAGGACGGACAAGAAGATGTAATTCTCTCCTAATCTTGAAGAGGCAATTTGTCTTTTGCTGAGGACATGTTGAACAAACAAACAAAGAAGGCTGTCAGTCAAGAAAATACCCCCNTTTCAATGATTTTAGTTTGGTTTAGCAGCCATTTGAAAAGGATTGTCTACCTGAAATGAGACATCAGAGTCATCAACCGAGGAACAAGTGAATAACCAATGAACTAAAATGTCCTGTCTCCAAACACTTACTCTAAAACTGATTCCCTTCTAATGTATTTGCTGTTGTGTTGTTATTACGCGGCGTCCTTTGTTTTTTTTTAACAAACAGAACTCTTTATATGATTGAAATAATGTGATAAATGACACTAGTCCCATAATGAGGTGAATCACACACACACACACCAGTCCAGAAATGAAAAGCAGTTACAATTTGTTGCTCCTGAAATGTCTGCGCAACATAAAAGCTTTTCCTGTCGTTCTAAATTTCTATTTTTCTTCCTCTCCTTATTTCTTCTCTCTCTCTCTCTCTCTCTCTCTCTCTCTCTCTCTCTCTCTCTCTCTCTCTCTCCTCTTGGGAAACACGCAGGGTGCAATTTACAGGGAAATGACAAACAAAAATGATAACTCAACAGCACATTTCTTAGATGAGCAGTACAGCAGAATTGTTTTTGAATGGGGGATATATTTCTGGGATGGAAAATGACCATTAATGTGCACCTTGAGGACACGCAGCCATTTATATTTCGATGAGGACTTGTAGTCACATCACTACACCAGTCAAATGTGGTGATATTTACACATAACGGCCACACGGTGGCAACTCACCGATGTTCTCAAAACATCAAGGATGATGTTCTGATAAAGCTCATACTGAGCCTTAAATGAAATGAAATAATTTGGATTTTTTTTTTCAAATTCGGTATGAGAAAATCTTTTGATTCTGCTGTGGATTAATGAGAGTGAGAACCCAAGTTTAGGATCCACACGGTCTCACCAAAACAGCAGAAAGAGGGGGTCAGAAAAATGTTACCTGATCTGACCCTCCTCAGAACTTGTTGTCTACACAACATGCAGTTTGTTTGGTCGGACTTTGATGCGAACAGTTTAGATCACGGGTGTCAAACTCATTTTGGTTCACGGGTCACATGCAAACTAATTAGATGTCAAGTGGGCGGGACCAGTACAATCATAACATAATTAACTATAAATAACAAGTCCATGTTTTTTTCCCTTTGTTTTCATGCAAAGAAGTAAAAGTATATTAGATTTCTATTCATATTAATTGAAATATAATTTTGTGTATTTTTTAATTTTCAAAATTCATTCAGCGGGCCGGACTGAACACCCTAGCGGGTCTGCTCTAGTTTTCACTACTGAAGTTCTACTGAAGCCTCTTCAAAGCTACCGCAGCTCGTGCACGTGCCGTATATTTGACACCCTTGGTTTAGATCCTGCTGGTGTAATGGTTTAGATGATGATGTCTGTGGTTCTGACCACACCTAAAAGTCTGTCAGTTACTGGATCCTAATGCTGTCAAGAAGGTAGAGTGGGATCGCACATTCGTCTCAGCATTCATATCATAGTTGTGTAGCTTTAGTATCCACACGGTCTCACTATATTGGGCATTTCCAAAGACCATGGTACCTGGTAAGTGGATGGTGAGTCTTGTTCAGGCATGGGCAAACTATGGCCCGGGGGCTGGATATGGCCCGTTTGGCTTTTTTATCCGGCCCGCCAAACTTAATGCCCGCAGTTCTCCAATAGACATCATAGAAAAGTCTTAAAACATCGTAGCATTTTAGGCTTTATGACTTTTACATGTCATTTGTTTTAGTCCATACGAACGCTCCATTGATCCTGCTCCCTCCCGTTAAATTTTAGGACCTATTGCGGCCCGCGAGTCAAAAACTTTGCCCAAGCCTGCTCTAGTTTTCACTACTGAAATTCTACTGAAGCCCCTTCAAAGCTACCGCAGCTCGTGCACGTGGAGAGCAGGGTGTAGCGGTGCTTCTGCATCAGATACATGTTCTTAATGCTCCGATGAGCACTGCACATGATGCAGTGTTATCCTCACCATCGAACATCAATCAGTGTCCTCATCCCTCTCACTCCCTACCTCCCCCCCCCCCCCCCCCCCCCCCCCCCCCCCCCCCCCCGACCCCCAACATCAACCCCCAATACTGGAACCTGAATAGATAGCAGTAAAAAACACGGTCCATTCAGCAATTATTCACAGAGTCTTGGACTAATGGTGCTCTGAATGCACCGACGCAGCAAATGTAGGGGAGTCAGCGGAGCAGCAGTAACAGCTCCACACACAGAGCATGTGTATGTGTGTGCATCAGTGCGTGTGTTGGCCAAGATGAGGAGGGGTATCATCCATAACTGATTCCCAACAAGCACAAACATGTCAACTGATGAATCCAAAATACAACTGTGGAACCAACTCACATTCTCTCTCTCTCTCTCTCTCACCATCTGTCAGGTTCTCTCTGCCCTCTCCCTCTCTCTCCTTCCGTCACAGGCCTGGCTCCATATCAGGTTGATGAAAACATAACCTGTCATATTCCATCCCATTAAACCAGCTACAAACCATGTGGTCTACTCACAGGGAGAAAGGGGGGAGGAGGGAGGGGGTGCAGAGAGAGAGAGAGAGAGAGAGAGAGAGAGAGAGCAGTGCATCTGGGTTCACTCAGAACTGATGAATAATTCACAGTCTTTATGCAAATGTCATTTTCATGTTGAAAATACTGACAGATATGCAGAAAAGACACATACTGTATGAAATGCTACACCCACCACGGAGCCACAGCCGCAGGAGAACACACTCGCTTAAAAATGTGTGCGTCTACCATATCCATTCTTCACCTCCTGTACACAACTACAACACATGTAATTATCCTCTGCAATACCTAATGCATTAGAGTACTTGCACCGAGCCCCCCCCCACACACACACACACCCTACACCCCCCCAAAAAAGTGCATTAATCTCTTTTTTAAGCGTGCCAGTCCATCAGCTGCCGTTCGATGTCAGGCAGAGCACAATAATGACACACACTCACATGCTCAGTCATTAGTCTTGGTTAGTGCCAGGAATTAACACAAATTAAGTAAAGTTAAGTACATGCATTAGAGGAGCTTTTGGCTCCTGCTGCCTATAGAGGTGGATGGTTCCTCGGACGGTCAGTAAATGCAACACGGGCACGGAGTACAACTGTGAAGGACGCACACGTGTCCCTCTTCAAATGATACAAAAAATTACTACCTGTAATAAAGAGCAGGTGGTGGATTTGTTGACTTATTAGAAGGGATCGGGCGGGAGAGTTCGTGGAGCTCCAAGGACACCTAGTGGTCACAACTATATTGCAAAAGTCAAAAAAGCGATGAATTGTTTTTCATCACCTTGAAAACAAACAGTTAAAACACAAAACCTTATTTGATTTTGAATTAGTCACAGGAAGTGAATACTGCTCGGATCATCAGTGGGAACTATTTCCACTCTTTGTATTTTTTTTTCTTTTCCAGGTAGAAATGTGTGTGAGTGAAAAGATGAAGCACTGGTGTTAAAGATAAACAGTGCAGTATGTGCTGATCTATGAACCATAACCCACTGTGTGTCACAGAATACAATTTGAACATTATTAGATGTCTTTGTGCCACAGTAGGCCACGTGTGAACGAGCGCCGGCCCAGACAGTTAGTTACTGTCTGGTTAACTGGTTATTTGAGGAAAAATGTGGGTAGAGTTACAGCGTCAGAACACACAGCGTCAGAACACTTCTGCTAAAACGGCACAGTCATACAATGACACTGAGATTATTCATTGTACAAATGATTTTTTCAATCTTTAATTTTACATTTTAAGTGAGAACAACTTCAACAGAAAATAATAATGACAACCAAAATAAAAAGCACATTAAATATATATATATATACACTAACACGTGATCCTGTAATAAACCACCGTTACAATTCAATTCACAGCATTATTAACATCTTAGAACTAGGACCATAAACTGCTACAGCGACTCCAGCCTCTGAGAGGCTAACGTTTAGCCGTGCTGCAGATTTAACATGAATTCAAGTTGTTTTAAAATCTTATAACTTCATTCATAATCAACTCCTAATATTATTTTGTCTTTGCTTTGAGATGTAACACCGTCATTGCCACGGAAACTCAACCTAAAGGCCAAACTGTATCCAGGTGTGTAGTGACTAATCCAGCATGGGGTTAGATGTGATAAATGTAGTAAATCAATTCAGTTTTACTTCATAGGTCTACTGCATTATTAACTTAACAATATTAACATAACATTAACATAACATTAACATAATATTATATTATATAATTATATATAATATTATATATATATTATATAATTATATATTATTATAACATTAATATTAACAATATTAACTGCTAAAAGGCTAAAAAGAAATACTGCAATCCCTTTGGATTTTTATTTTTCATCGGAGTTTGCAGCCTGGTGTGACTGACTGAAGATTACAGGTGTGCTAAACAGGGATTATCCCACTTATCTGTGGCTGTGCTGACTTATTATTTTCCACACGTTTGGTCCCAACACTGGGATCATATCAGAAATGATGCCTAAACCTCTGATCCTCAGATTAGTGGGAGAAATGAAATACTTACTGTATGTGGACAGGAAAATAAAACCAGTCAACATGAATGTGTTAGAAGGCCACACAACATGCTAATAAACCCTTAAAAAACCCTTAAAAAACACAGAAGGTCATCTGTTGAAATTCACCTTTAGCAAGAGTTTTACTCACTGAATATTATGAATTGCATGAAGATATGCAGATGCTCATACACATGAAAAATTCCTGTAAAGACATCCCGCGTGTGCCATAACAGTACTGGAGTGTAGTGTTTCTCAAAAGATGGATATTGACCCAAAAGTGGGTCAGCAGGCTGAATATGACGGGTCACAGGTCTGGATGTTACCTTTTAAACCTGTTCTACCGCAGGAATCTGTGTGTTTTTCTGTCTCGTTATATTTTTGTGCTGCTTTCACCTTCGCCTTTCTTTATGTAAAATAATACTTTTGAACTCAGTGAACATTTGGAGAGAGAGAACATTTAACACACGTTTTATCGAGTGCAAATATATTTCATTGAATTTTAATGCAGCGTAAACATGTTGTAAACATAATGTCCCTGCATTAGCGTTTAGACATTATGTAATGTGTTTGTTTTGGATAAATTTAAATTAAGGAGTTTTAAAAATAAAACCTGTGTCACCACTGTTTTAGTCTAAACCAATGTCTCTGTGATGGTTGGATTTATAGTTTACCTTGGTAATCATGTCTCTGTTGGATTTGTCTTGTCGGTTGGATTTATAGTTTACCTTGGTAATAAATGCTAACAGATGAATATCGTTGTCTTCAAACTCTGCAGGATGCTACAAAGGAGGATGTTTACCACCATTTGGGAATCTGAAAAGACAAAAATAAAAAACACAATTTCACCATTTGTTGTGTTTTTAACACAGACTTTATGACTGACATCAAACCTTTTCATAATACTAACTAACTTTTTCTCACTTTTCTTTTGCTGCAAAATACAATTGCTTGTTTTTCTTAAAATTGTTTTTTTTTTCTAAGGTATCAGTAAAATGAAAATTTACATTTGCTTTTTCTTTTGCAAGCAGACAACCAACCAGCTCGCACAATAGCCCAGGGCAGGTTGTTGTGAGGTGGGTCACTGATAAAGCTTTTTCCGTGATTGAAAAGAAATTCCAGTCATGCTACTATAATTCAGAAAAATGAGTCATAGGTCTTTAAAAGTAAAAATTCTGAGATTGAAGTTTGACTCTTGATAAAGACATAATTTTTTTTTTTATTTCGGTCTGACAAAAATAAAGCCAAAACTTGGCTAGAAATTTGACCTTTCTTTCTGCTCGAATTCTGACATTTAAAAGTGTTTTTTGCCGTACAAAAAAAGAATAAAGGAAAGAAAGGAAAACATTTTGCTATAATGAACCTGAACTTCATTTATTCAACAAAAGAAAAGTTGTTGTTGTGGCACGGACATTAATGCAGCGTAACACACATTTTATTAGAATTTAGTACCAGTTTATTTATTATGTGAATGTAAATGATGAAAATGTTTATATTTAAAATCACCTAAACTGGTTGACAAAGTCAAAACAGTGTTAACTAGATGCTGCGGCTCAGATTTTCCCTTGACCTCTGACCTCTGACCTGCTGTCGTGCTCCTGGTTGTGATAGGTGAAGATGACTCTGTTCCCATCAGGGAGGTGACCTGTGGGTGTCATGAAGCTGTTTCCTGGTCTTCTAACGTATCTGAAGGTCAGGTCCGTCTGAGCGCTCCGACCTGAAGGTATGTGCTTGTGCTTCCTGTCTGGTTTTGGAAACACAGCAGACGGTTAGGGTGACAAAGCATCGGCTGGAACAGTAAACTACATAGTAGAACTCTGTCACCAGTTACTGCTTACTCCTGTAGGAACAATGAGCTGGACTTTCATCCGTGTTACTGGGCAGAACGTGTTCAGTCCCGTGGACGATGCTCTGCAGTCCACTTATGTTCATTGCTCTCAGGGGGGCGTTTCTGGTCATGGGAGGAAACAGTCCAGGGAGGAGGATTTCACAGGGCGGCTGAGAAACCCCTGAACACTGGGAGCACGGCTGAAGGAAAAATATTAAATATGGAAAAAGTAACGGCATGAGACAGGTTCGAATGAATTAGTAAAATATTTACATAACGTGTAAACAATTATGTCCCATGAGCCTCTCAGGCAGAATTATTAACATGTGCATCCTGGTTAATTATGTGTGTTTTGACCTCCATCCTCCCACGGCTGCCTCTCTCACTACAGTGTGTTTACTCGGAGCAGCGTTGGTGATGACTTCTGCTTGTTGTTCCACGTTTAAGCAGTAATCGCTTGTCTTCAATAATGATGTTTAAAATTCAAACAAAAGCAGAAATAATCACCCACTGACACTGACGACCGAGACGGCAGTCATTAGATTCCGTAAGTGGAGTAGTGCGGTCGTGGGGGTGGGGGGGGGGTGACCTGGCTAATAGGGGCTAAATCCACTGGTGCATTATCGGCTGGGCACATTTCATCTAATCAGCAGGATGATGCCAGCAGAGCCGGGAGGATCGGTGCCCTGCTCTCTCATTACGTGAACATCAGACTGAGTCAGACTCCAGGCTTCACTCTTCCCCCATGGCTGCTGTTTACGAGGCTGTCCATGTGTTTCTTTAAGTTAGGATGAGGAACCTGCATTTCATTTTACATGAACATAAACCACGTTCTTCTGGAAATCACACCTCGGGGTGCGACTGTGAGAACAGACAGGGAATCAATTGCAGTTCTCCAGTCTGTACGGAGTATGTGTTATTTCAGTTTGACTTTTTAATTTAATTTATACATCACGCATTCAAAAATTACAGCTTGTTGTCCGCATTATTCAGATGTACAAAAAAAACCTGAACACTGGACAAACGCTGTGTTTTTACTCAGCAAATATATTAATAACCTGAACTCTAGACAAATGCAGTGTTTTTACTCAGCAAATATATTAATATATGGATTAAGATGTTCACCCATCCATCCATTTTCATCCACTTATCCGTTACCGGGTCGCGGGGGCAGCAGTCGCTGCCCAGATCACACTGGACCGTACCAACCCCCCCAAATCTTCCTGCAGGTGGTGAGTCCACTGGAAGGTACCAACCGCCCTAACCGGGACTTGAACTTGCCCAGGAGGTGAACCCTGGGGTTCCACACCAATGACAGAGACATTGGCTCTGGGCCAAAGCGCCACTGGATTAAGATGTTCTATGAGGAAAACCCTTTCATTGACATAAGTAAGAAAATATAAAAATAATTGTACATATATATAAGTCCTTATTGTAAAAGGGTTAACAGATACTGTATGTACATTAATATGCAGGTATGCTGCCCTCTGCTGATATTTTCTCAAACCGTAATTACAGCGCCCTCTGTCTTTTGTCTGTTATGACAGATGTTTGATTGAAAGGTTGCTGCATTTCCATGACGTGTGTGAATGTTCAAACTGCAAACACGATCATGTTTAGTGCTTTAAGGCATTGTTTCCCAAAAACTGGGTCACAAGATTTTTTTTTTTTTTTTTTTGGGTCGACTGGCATCATGTTTTCCCGTAGTTTACAAATAGTGTCTATTGACTTGGGTCGTGAAGGTCTGTGTTTGGGAATCACTGCTTTAAGGGATCAAGTATAGAAAAGTACTACAGTAGATACTTGTCATACTGAATATTGTTGATGTATCCAGTACTTACTGGTGGCTCAGCACTGAGGAGTTCAGCCCTGGTTCTTTCCTCCAGAGTGATCGTCACTCCATCCAGGACCTGCAGCTGCGACAGATGAAGCACAACCGCTGGTCTGTGGAGCGAATTACGGGCCACCTATGAGAACAAAAAAAAAATTACAAGTTAAATAAATTACACTGACATTATGAAGCATTTTAAGACTAAATGATCCTGACAGGAGTGGTGCCATATCTGTAACATATTATTCTGTCTGTGTTCTGGTTCATTTCTCCAGCTTCCTGTGTCTGTTCTAGTGACGCATCAGACAATAACAAACAGTTCCTGACTTTTCTGGGCACTCTCTGAGCAGAGTGTGTTACCAGCTGATCTTTTTTCAACAGCCCACTGGAAAGGTCACGGCCAAGAAACACGAATGAAGTGAAAGGAAAAACATGGGCTGCAGCTGGTCAGAGAGCTCTGGAGCAGCACAGTGTGAAGGACAAGGAACTGCAAAAGTATGACATTGATACATGACTTGAGTAAGTGAAACATTACTGATGTTTAACTGGCCTGAGAGCTGTGGGTGGCAGTCAGTTGACTCACATTCAAGGAAGTTAAAAAAACCAATACTTTGTCTGTGACGCCAACAACACTCACTGGATTACCAACAACTGAGAGCTCCATCAGAGAAGGAAGAAGGTCGAGTTTTTCCAGCTCAGCCATGTCCTACAAAAAGAAGAACAGTGAATTCTGTGTTTAATTTAACTATCATTCAATGGAAATTGATCATAATAAATATGGAAGTTTTGAAAGCAGTTTATTTTGCCTAAACAAAACAAAAACAAACAAATCATCCTAACACTTAGGTCGCCACTGAACACATTTACTTTTTCCTTTGGTTTTGCTCGACTCTGTCTTGGGGACCATTGTGTTAAGTGACAATGATTTTTTTTTGAGACAGCACTGTCTGTCATAGCACTGTAAAAGTTGTTCAAGCCCTGGGACGAGGAGGTCACAGATAGAGTCCAGCATCTTGCCTTCACGCACCAAGATTTAATTTCTTTTTAACTTTAAATTTTTACAGCAACACGAGTTACAATTCATCAGTATTCTGATCGTTTTGGTGGACACTTCTTTCATACCCATTCTGTTGTGACCTCCCTGACCGGTACTCGTCTATACTTTAAAGTTAGTTCTAATGACCACTTGAAGCACTTCACACTACAGGTGTTTTGCCATCGACCTACAGCATAAATGAAACCCACAACCCTGTGGGTGTAACACAACTGGACCACTCACTGAGCCACAGCTAACAGCTAACAGCTAACCCTGCACTTGGACAACTTGGTCAGTGAAAACACTGATATAACTGTGTCACCTCTGAACATGAAGTCAATGATCTAATAAAATTGTCATGTTTTAGTGAGTAAAACCTCAGACCGTACACAGCCTTCTGTGATGTGAGTGGAGTCGTACAGGACGGTAGAAACCTTAGCTCTAAATATTGTCCTTAGACTGGAGTCGTACAGGACGGTAGAAACCTTCGATGTAACGAGGAAACAAGCAACCGACAGAAGAGATTACAAGTGGGAGGTGTTTGTTAATCTCGTGAGAAACTGGCTGGACAAAATACACAAAATGCTACGTTTCAGATGGGATGAGTGTGTTGGTGGGTGTTTTCTCTGCTCTGTCCCCAAACGTGGGTTTGGTTTTGGCTGAAATGAAGAGATGCTCCCACTGTGAGCCTGCTGTGCTGAGGATGATTGCTGTATTTCATGTCTTAATTGAATGCATGAAAACATTTAAGGGCGGTAAAGCAAGTGGCAAGAAAAGTACAAATCACTCACTGTGGGTGAGAAGGACACGCAGCCTGAGATGCTGATTACAGGCTGCGCTGATTTTTCGCTTCTTTCTTCGTACATATGCCCCTGACCTTCAATCAAACTTGATTCTCCCTAATGCTAGCCCTTGTGCTGCGTGGTGGGTGATGATGACTTGTGATTACTACACTTTGCGTACTTACTTTTCAAACGCGGGGGAAAGTCATATTTCTGGGAGTCAAAAGAAACAAGTACGGAAACATTTTCTGCGTGAGAACCAATCAGAGAACGTTAGTGTGTAAATCAAGAGCTTACAGTGACGGAGTGTAAAATTGGTGGTCACTGCAGAGAATGGCTCCGTGGAATTCATTCAGGGAGTTTAATTGAAAGTCTCAGTCAGAAAAACTGAATAATTTAATAAAGAATGTAAAAACTAACATATCCAGAGGGGCTGGAGGTGAATACCTGTAGTTTGTTCATGCCTAGGAACAGCTTCCGGAGCTCAGCCAGGGGATCCAGATGGTTGAGCTCCCGGATCCGATTCTCTGTTAAGTGAAGCTCCAACAGGGAATTCTGGGAGATGAAAGAGTTCTCCGACAAAGTTTTGATGCGGTTCTTGTCCAGAAAAAGTTCTCTGAGCTGGTGGAGCCCCTCCAGACCTTCCACTTGGCTTATCTCATTACCTAAAGTGCAAAGATTAAAAATGTGGAAAATATTTTTTTATCCACATCTAAATATTGTGATGATGTTGTATAAAAACATTTATAAGGCCATATGAGGAGCAGGACAGTGCTGAGTCCAGAGTTCTGGTGTGAAAAGCACTGAAATTACAGAGGTTTGAACAGGTTTGTAGGAAAAAGTAAAAGGGAAAAGTAGGGTCAGCTCGGTGGGACGAAATCACACTAACAAAGCAAACGCCATCAAACCCATCAGGGGCCGGTGAAAAGAAAGTCTGTCTCTCTTTTCTTCCATTCTCATCACCCATCTGGCCCGTGGTCTGTGGGAGTCTCCGTTCCTGGTGTTTGCCTTTTCACAGCTTCTTTACACTGCTGAAGGCTTTGTGAGGGACGGTGGGTGCGATAACCATACATACCTTGCAGGAAGAGTGCTTTAAGATTGGTGAGCCTGCTGAGCTGCAGATTGGCCATATTGGAAATGCAATTGTGACTCAAATGCAGCACCTCCAGGCTGCTCATCAGTGGCTCCAGACTGACACAGGGTCCGGTTTCCCTTCAACACAGACACAGAATGACAGTGTGTAATCTGTCTGGTTAAATGAACATCTCTGTCTCCCTCCTGCTGCCTCATTTAACCAGTCAGACCTCACAGGTGCTGACTACATAAAGCTGCAAACAGAGTCAGGCTGAACAAAAGCCCGTCTGTTCCAGCTCAACGGCGGCGTCTACATATAAAAATGCTATATTAAAAAAAAAAAAAAATCCACAATACTCAAAACAACGATGACACAGAGTGCTGTCATTTTAGTCCAATTTTTATCAACTATAGTATTCTTAAAAGCACTGTGTTGAAAAACAAACCGAGACCATGGTTTGGGGATGACTGCTATAATTAATTTAATAATTTAATTAAATTTATAAAATGTATATAATTTGACAGAAAGTAATTTCTTTTGTTTTCGTGATGATGCTCTCATCATTGAAACCTATTCAAACCTTCAATCCAAACCTAACTGTCATTATGTTAACACATCGAATACCGACAACAGTCAAACTCTCCAGACACACTTCATCCACCTGCAGGTCAGTACTGCCCCCTATTGGCTACAGTTCACACATTCAGATGAAAATCTGAAAACCCTCAATGGTCCAGACAGACATATTATTTATGTAATCACCTGTTGCTTTTAGATGGACTTTGTTGACCATAACCACTAGAGGGCACTTTGTTATAAAGCATCTGTCTGTTTGTCACGTGAGTCTTTTGTTTGGGCAGGATGGACTCAATGTGGTTATGGTTCAAACACAGAGTCTAAAGAAACAAAAAAGACAATGATGGATTTTTGAAAAAAATTTATAATTTTTCTAAAAAAGTACAATTTCTTTATATAGTTTTTCTTTCCTACCTTGATGTTCGGCAGGTAAAGGAGACCTGAGAAGGAGGTGAGGTTGTTGTGATCCAAGTTCACGCTGCACAGGTTGTAGAACATATCTGGTGGAGACAGATCGACGCTCCTATGAGAAAGAAAATACTGTTTTATCCAGATTAATCTATTTTTGGTGATATTTCTGTGTATTTGGTTTTTCATCAGGTGTTACCTGATGGAGCAGGACTGCAGAGTGAGGTAGGTAATGTCCGTGTAGTCACAGTGACCCAGCTTCTCTAAAACCATGTCTGACGTGAGTCTTCCTCCAAACATATCCTTCGCGCTTTCACATTCGTTCGCTTCCTTGAGAAATAAAAAATCAGCGTAAAAATCATTCAATAAAAGTAAACATTAGAGTCTAAATGTTTTATCAGCAGTTGTTTTTGTTAAACGTACGACTGCAATCCCGTCCAGTGCTTTCAGGGAGGGCAGGTGGAAGACAACATATATGCGGTAATTTTCCAGTTTCTCCACCAGAGGGTTCCCATAGAGATCCAGAATGATGAGGTTTGTAACGGCCTAAAAACAAACAATTTAAATAAAAAAAAACAATGAAGCAAATAAATAACACCTTTATTGGTCACTTTTTTTCAGGTAAAGATTTTGTGTTCTTGCCTTAAGGTAGAAAATATCTCGTGATGCAGAAATCTGGTTGTTACCGATGTAAAGTTCGAGGAGAGAGCGAACTCTCTGGATGCCGTGCAGAGAGTTTATCTGATTTTTATCCACGGAGAGAAAGGACAGGTTGGGTAGAGAGTCCAAAACTGAAGCATCCAAACCAGAAAGCTGATTCCCATCCATACTCAGCTTATGAAGGTTTGTCAGTTTTGACAAGCCTGAAGAAAAATACACAGACAAAGAAACGGGTCAGTGTGTAAGTGTGTGTAACTTTAGGTTGGTCGGACAAATCAATTTTTTTCCCGGCTTTATTCAGTTTGGTTTGGCTGTGGGAAGAGCGACTGACCAGTAAATGAAGTGATGCAGTTGTTGTTTAGAGAAAGTTCCTCCAGTTTAAGACAGTTCTCCAGTCCTTCCACTTTAGAGATGTCATTGTTATTGAAGGAGGCCCAGCGCAGATTCACCAGCTTATTCAGATTAGTCATCTTGGTAATCCTCTGGCCTTCAAGGTTCAGGGCTGTGATCTGTTTAAAGGCAGCATTACTGTGGTATAAATATGGATCACATTCATGTCATTAGAGATGGGACGATATACAAATGAGTGACAATTCACATCGGTTGAAATAAAAAGTAAAATGTGCATCGAGGCGTCAGGAATAGGCTGTGTTCAAAAAGTCACTGGTCATACCATGAGACTACACACTCTAGTACAGTAGGTGGCGGTATGCACCTAAAAACGCTATTAAACCAAAACATCATGGACTAAGTGACATTCAGGTGTTCATCAGAACGTGGGAAGTATTTGTTCCACAGACACAAACAGTGTTTTAGTGTTTTTGTAACGTAAGAAACTCTTCCCAGTTAATTTTTTTCTTTTGTTGATTAATGTATTGACAGTTAACGAGGTTAATAAAACCAGACCTGTTTGACTTTTAATAAGAGGAGCTAAATAGCGCAGTGCAAGTTTTCTGTAAAGAAATGTGCATTTTTTGTTCAGGTTTTCTGTAAAGAAATGTGTATTTTTTGTTTTCTGTTATTTTAGATAACAGTTAATGACGTGCACCAGACCATTTCAGTTTGTAATGGTATTTTAAGTTTAAGTTCTTACAAATAAAGGATCATTATATTTGGCTATAATTTTCCATAATCATATCACATTGTGAGTTGAGTGTATTGTTACATCACTAACTGTCACATAAAGTTTTTAGATAAAGCTCTAGTCCCTTTTTCTAAATGAAAGTTGAAATATTTACGACCAACAAATGTCTGAGGTGCAGCGACACCTGGCTGCTGGAACTCACCCTTTCAGTCCAGTTTGGCTCCAGCTCCAGATCTTGGCTAATCCTCCAGGCAGGTGGATGGAGAAGGTGCAGCAGCTGAGCTGTTGACATAAGGCAAAGACTTCTGGGACGATCACCGTTGGTGCGGGAGTGAATCAAAATCGTCGCCTGTAAACAGAACGTTAACATGTCTGGATGAGTCACTGTATGAAATAATATAATCAAGTTCACACAGCAGGAGAGTGACGGTAACCTGGTGAATTTTGGCTCCAGTAGCCAGGACAGTGGCTTCAGCGGCTTCTTCATCTGTTATTACAGCTTCATCCAGATGTGTGAGTGTTGTCAGACGCCCCAGTAAGGTCACTCTGACCGTCTCTGACTGGAATGACAGATTCAGCTTTACTCTTTTTGTTACTGTATTTCTGCTTAGATTTACATCTTAAAGTGGAGGACTCAAACTACTGGCTCGGGGGCCCTGTATGGGCCACAACTAACTGTCAATGAAATTTTTTTTTTTTTTAATTGAACGTCAAACATTGTTGTGGCTCTCCACTGACGTGATCATAGCAGCTGTGGCCCTCAGCTTATTTGCATATTGCAGCACAATATTGCAGTAATACATACTCTCTGAGGACTCACATACTTCTGAAATGTGTATCATAAGGTTCAATTCCAGTTCTAACTGCAGAACTTACTCTGTTCCAGGGGTTGTATCTGGTGTCCAGCTTCAGAAGTGCAGGTGCATGTCTTCTTAAAACTGTGGCATCTTCTCTGGCCTTGGTCAACTGGTTCCAGCGAACATCCAGCTGTTTGAGTTGACCCAACCCTCTCAGCCCTTCCAGGGTTACCAGGTGGTTGAAGCTGGCATCCAGATACTCAAGATTTGGCTGTGGTGAAAATGATAAATATCATTTAAAAAACTAAAAAAAAGACTAAAACCAACTCTCTGTCTTTTGTACTACCATGTGAGAGATGTCGTCAAGGCGTGTGAACTCGTTGAAACTGATGGTCAGATGCCGCAGACATGTTAGACATGAAATCTCCTTTATCTTGTTCAGACTGTTTCCATGAAGATTCAGCACCTGCAGAGAAGATGTTAATTATTGGTCTAGTAGACAGGTTTAGAACTCCACTTGTTAAAACTCCACAGTACTCACAGAGATCTGACTCAGGACGTTGGCTCTGGCAACAGACAGCAGGATCTTGTCGTCCAAGCTCAGCAGCTTGGGCTGTGCTTTCAGCACGGGCTCCATGCTGAGGACTTCTTGGTCCAGGATGATGTTGTTGTTGGACGCGTCATCTTGCTTCAGAATCATGGACTGTTTCTGGTTCTGTAACAGTAAGAACAACATGTTTATAATCACACGTGGGCTACAAGGTGTGAGGCACCAGGTGTGAGGCATTTTTTTATTTAGATGTATGCTATTATTTATTGTTTCAACAAGATCAACATGACTTGGTTAAATTTTTCAAAATATTAACTTTCAAAATCACTAAGTAGTCCAGCTGGAACAAAAATTGCATTAACATGGAGTTAGGGATAATTAGGGATGTCCAATAATATCGGCAGACCGATATTATCGGCAGACCGATATTATCGGACCGATATTAGCATATTATGTCATGTCTGTAAGAATCCTTATAGGTTTTTTCTCCGACAATAATAACCTGACAACGACAAATCACACAATGCCTGAGTTTGGCCAAATGATGTGTGCCCAAAAAATAGTCTTGGGGATAAACGGCTGTATATTAAAGTGAAAGTCACTAGATGGCAGCATTGCAGTTCATTTTGTACAGATAAATAAATAAATATTACCAGGCCTATATTGGTATCAGTTGCTATCGGAATCGGAAATTAAGACTTTGGACAGTATCGGCATATTGGATATCAGCCAAACGTTAATAACGGACAACCCTAATTATAACCTATTAATGAGTGAAACCTGGTGGTTATTAAGTGCACACAAGGTTTTTTCTGAACACAGTTGTGCTGGAGTTAAATATATTTTTGTTATAACATTGTTTACCTCAGTTGTGTAGTGAAAAAACACAATATACTCAGGCAGGACTAGTTCCCGATCAAACATGAGCCACTGCCTCCGTCTGCAGCTGGACTCAGAGGTGGTCGTTGTGTTGGAGGAAGCTCTTTCTGAATGAAAAGACAGAAGTGATTCGTTGAGGTGACGAGCAATAAAAACGTATACTTTTTTTTCTTAAATTTATGTCCTTCATACCATCACTTGGTGTAGTTTTGTTCTTAGCGTCCATGTTGCGATAAACGGAGCAGAGAGTGTGATGGCTGCTTCTGTCACAGGTGTCTCCCACTTTGAGGGGCATGCTGTGTCCCACAAAGACTTTGGAGACAATGATCTGACCTACAGTGAAAAATGATGACATTTGATTAAATAATGATTACTATTCTACTACAAATAATATACTGTATGTTGATGTGATGCTGTCAGCAGAGCCGACGCACTGTGTTTAAACGCTGCTGCGTCCACTCTGGGCTCAGACTCTGTATCTGGGCTGGTCTGCTGGAGAAGGCGTTCAATCCTGGGTTTTTCACTCACATTCAGGCTGTTAGTCAAAGGTATGGCGCCATCTTTGTCTAAGACCTGGTAGAAAAACAACACATTCAATAATTTTCAATTCATAGAAGCACAACATCTCTCAACATTCTCTCAGCTGGACTGGTGAAATCACATCATGAAACTGGGTTTATGGGATGGCTGTCAAAGGGTCTAATGGACAGAATGACACACACTGTACACACAATAATTCAACTATCCATCAGTGATCCTGATATACAGTCAACACAGTAAACTGTCATGTTTAGGATTGTTCAATTTTAGTTAGTTAGGATTGTTGTTATCTCAATTAATCATGATTAATCATAATTAATCAGGGATGTCCAATAATATCGCCGACCAATATTATCGGACATAATATTAGCATATTATGTAATATCTGTAAGTATCGTTTTTTTTCTCCGATAATGAAAACCTGATAATGCAATGCCTGGGTTTTGCCAAATGAGGTGTGCCCTAAAAATAGTTTTGGGGATGAACGGCTTATATTAACGGGCAAGTCACTAGATGGCAGCATTGCAACTCATTTTAATAATCTCATACTTATACAGTGGTTTGTACAGATAAATAAATAACTATTACCAGGCCTATATTGGTATCGGTTGATATTGGAATCGGAAATTAATACTTTGGACAAAATCGGCATATCGAATATCGGCAAAAAGCTCATAATGGACATACCTATAATTAATCATTAATCAGCTACAGGGGGATTAACCAGTTTGAAATTTTCAATTTATTCTGATGATGTGTTTCGTGGGTGAATTTGTCAAAATAAAAACAACAACCACAACGGTCCACACACCTTAAACTCTTCAGACGTTTTGAAGCCCTCTTCCAGAATGCTGAGAATTTCCTCTTTCTCTCTGTTTTTTTCAGGGTGAGGGGTGTAGAACAGGTGGTCCAGTTTGCGCCTGTAATTCTTGCTTCAAAAGTTTAACATAAGATAAATGTTAGTAGAGACAATAAAGAGCTGCAGATGTCGATTACGTCACCACTACATAAAACGCAGTTTATATTTTGTTTCGACCAAGTTACACTTACTGTGACAACAAAGCGCTGTCCTCGCTGTCAATCAGGCTGTGAAGTTTGTCCTCAAAGCGTTGTCTCAGAGCACTGTTTAATATGCGAACAACTCTGTCAATTTTAATCCCATAAAAACCGTACGATTTGTAGTCAGTGGGACTGAAGCGGGAAAGTAGGAGGTCACAGCAGGAGGTGAACCTGTTGAACACAAAGCAGATGACGTTAGTATTTAGTTGAAACAGAATTGCAGGTATTAAAATCAAACATGTAAATTACCAAGGGTCGGTGGAGCAACCTTCTTCCAAACGAATGTTTCCGACACTTTCTAGCTCCATCGATAGAAAATGAACAGTAAAGTCCATCATAGCTGTGGCCTGGGCCACTTCCTGTTTGTAGCAGGATTCAATCCTAGACATGAAAAATTAATGAATACTGATTCCAATTGGAGATATCTAAAAAAATTATACTGATTCCAATTGGAGATATCTAAAAATACACATTTTGTCAATTGATGTTTTTACTTTATATACAATGGTGAAATAATTCATTATTTTCTATTTCGTATCCAAGCATTCAAACGTACTCATGTAGTCGTCTCATCCAGACAGACAGTCTCTCCTTCACTGCAGCGATCTTCTTGAGTATTTTGGTCTCCATGGCAGGATCACAACCGATAATATCAGTGGTTGGATCACAGCTGTTGGACAAATCTTCTCCCTGTTTGGTCAGTTCTTCAGGTTCTTCCTCTTTGATGCAAGCAGAATTTCTACCCCCGGCCAGAACCTTGGAGAGCTCCCGTTCAAGCTGTGTACAAGAGACAGAACCGTGACAGAACTTTTCACATCGACTCTCAGGGCTGACAGTTAGAGCTGCGGAGATCATTTTTAAAAACAAATTGAACCCACATTTTTAAGAGTGTGACTGAGTGTCCTGACACACTCTTCAGGCAGCTGTAACAGGGTCCTCTTCCTCTCTGTCAGACTGAAGTGAGTCTCTGCCAGTTTCCTCCGAGTGGTCCGCACTCTCATGTTGTAGTACATCATCTTCTTCGTCACTGTGGCCTAAACAAAACAGAGTGAAAACTTAAACAGGCATCATATAATGTACACGTGTGTATTAACATAATTTAAAGACTGAATCCCACATGTTTTATAAGAACAAATATTTTTCTATCAGTATTAAATGCGTAAAGGCTAAATCTTTAAGTCTAATGTAATGTATTATAACAATGGGACAAAGAATGTCTGCTATATATTTATTTAAAAGATTGGATGCAAATGTTGTATTAAAAATACAAATCCAATGCACAATGTGACTGTATCTTTCTTTAGGCAAAATAAATAGGCAAAAGAAATCAAGCTTATTTTTTTAAAAAAATCATAAAAAAAGGTTTAATTTAACTGATGTGTAACACTGTAAATTAACAGAGACATGTCCTCATCCCTAAGGTTCTCGTTACCTCAGCTGCTTCCTTGACTTGTTTGCTGGAGACATCGTAGGCATCAAGACGCTGCAGGCCCGGCATGTGGTACAGAACGTGTGTGGCGTAATTACACAGAAGACACACCGGGTTCGGGGTCGAAGTGGGGTCGTGCAACGCCAGCACTCTCAGACTGGGCAGAAAGGCCAGCCGGGTCAGCTCCTGTTATAACAACAGGGTCTTTTTAAACCAACAGCTGACGTACACAGTGTTCTGTCTACGATTTAAATGAATCCTTCGTTGTAGGTGGTCATGAAGTACATGTCATATTTATATGACTTATTGATTCACCACTCATTTGGAACCATGTACTGATGCTTTAGGAAACTACGAACAACATTTTAACAGTCATCTGAATTAAGATGATCAAAACTAGGGATGTCCGATATCGACTTTTTGCGGACATCCAACATTGTCCAAACTTAATTTCCGATTCTGATAACCGATACCGATGTAGGCCTGGTAATATTTATTTATTTATCTGTACAAACCACGGTATGAATATGAAGTTAATTAAATGAGCTGCAACGCTGCCATCTAGTGACTTTCACTTTAATATGCAGCCGTTTATCCCCAGTATCCCCTATTTTTAGGGCACACATCATTTGGCGAAACCCAGGCATTTCTTTATCGAGTTTTCGTTATTAATGATATTACATAACATGCTAATATAGGCTGATAATATTGGTCGGCCGATTTTATCGGACTTCCTTAGTAAAAACTGTTGCAGAATCCCTTTGAAAAAGACTCTGAAAAAGAAGCCTAAAAGGCTTTTATCACACATTGTAGCTCAAAAAAAAGGAAACCATCTCAGGAGAACACATAAACAGCCTCCAGTTTGTGGCACGTACTGTCTACTCAGTGACTTCCTTTAGAAGGAAAAATGGGTGGCGCAGAAGAATGATTACAGTAATGTTATCTGAGGTGTCGATTATCTCAGCACTGAGAATCTCATTCATCAAGGTTTGAGCCACAAAGCCTTTTGTTCTCCTGTCAGATTAACCTTAAACAAGACATTGATACTGTGTCACCAAGTGTGACTGTATAAAATGTTTGAAGGAAACTTCTTCTTACCGCTGCCCCCTTCAGGCGTCGCCTCACCTGACCTCATGTCTCCACATTTCCCTCAGCTTCTCTACTTTCATCAACAATCTTCATAACTGTTTTTTCAGTACTTTTTTTTTTACTTTTACTAAAAAAAATTGCAATCGCAACAGGAAAGGAATTTTGAACCTGATTAAAAGGTGAAAATGTAAAACTGGCCTCGACCTTGAAGATTTTAGGAGAATTTGGAGACAACCTTCTCTCACAGCAAGGGTCTTTGATAATATTTTTTAATTATAAATAAATTCTCAGAGATGGTTCCAAATGTAAAATGTAATTTTACCTTAAAGGAACTGATCTTGTTCCCGGACAGATTGAGATTCTGAAGACCAGCATTAGAATCAAGGCCGTGTCCTGGAAATTTAAATAAATATATTTTTTAGCATTTCAGTGATTTACAATAATTAAATAAGAAGTTAACATTTTTACCTACCAATTTTTTCAATAAGGTTGTCGGCGAGGTTAAGTTCTTTAAGGTTTTGAAGTGACTTTAAGCCCTATATAAAATTAAAAATATATATATTTATTTTGGCATTTCATAGTTTTAAGTAATAAGTCAAAAACTGTGCATAAATGTTAGTTTTAACAACATTCATCCTAGAATGAATAACAAACCTCTATGTGTTTTATGCAGTTATTGTTGAGCCACAGAACCTCTAGGTTGACTTGCGACACTAAACCGGTGATTTCACTTATTTGATTTTCATAAAGGTAGAGCTTCTCCAGTAGCACACAGTTCTCCAGACCAGAGATCACCTGAGGACAGACAAGAGTTGGCCGCTCAAAAAAGAATATATAAAATAGAGTATAACTATAACAACTGTTGTTATTCAGTATATTTATTTTCACTGTGGTTTAATAATACAGATTAAAATAGCACAGCAAACATTAATGTTGCAAACAGAGACAGAAACTCTTTGATTCTCTAAAACCTGTAAGTGCTGGTTCAAGTTAAAACTCTGCAGTAAACAATATTTTCCCATTGTAGCCATTTTCTGAAAATAACAACCTATCCTGAGCTTCGATAAATTCAATGTCTTTTATAATTATCATGACAAAAATAACTTTGAAAAATTGCCCCAGAACCTTAAATATAAACATGATACTAAATATAAACATGTGTAATCATTCTTTTACAAAAGTGACCTTCATTTAGTTCGTACTGTACAAATAGGTTTCAAATAATCAGCACTGAAATGCAGAAAAATTCAATACTGATTAAGATGAAGAAATCAAAATGTTAACCTGTATGTAAAAATATTAATATTAATTGATATAATTTCAGGTAAAATATTAAACTTACTCTGGAGTCTGAACTGAAATGAGAATAAACAATTATCCCAAAAAGAACATTTACAAGGATTATTCTAAACATAACATGGTCTCCTGTGAGAACCACTTTTAATGTAAATTTTAGTTTTTGCAAATTATTTTAACCACTTGAATTCAAAGGCTGATGAATATAACAATCAGTATTGATCATATTTTGTAGATCAAACAGATGTCGACCCTTTTTGCCTTTTTCATGGTCCAGATATAGAATGAGCTTTAATTTTTAATAATTATTTTTATGTTTTATTAGCACTTCATTTCATTACTTACAGTGAGCTGGCACTGGACCACCCAGAGCTCTTTAAGCAGAGGGCATCCCTCCAGGCCTTCGATGTTCTCAATGCCCTGGCCAATGATGGTAAGGTGACACAGTCCTGGGAAGAAAGAAAGTCCAAGCATGCGTGGAAAACCAGAGAAAAACATCTCCAGTGAGCTGATGCTGCTTCCTTCCTGTGCAAGTTTGTCATAAGACACTCCGTTGGCCAAACACTGTCAAGATTAAACATAAAATGTGACCCTCAGTTAAAATACACATGTTGAATTCGGGCTTTTGGAGTAGTTTGCTGTGAAGTTGTTCACTCACCACTTCATTGAGCACATCTTCATCACTGCAGTGTTTTTGTCTCTCATTGTGTATCATCTTTCTTCTGTGCTGCAGAGCTGAACACTGAATGCTGCTAATACCATCACTCAGACTGTATTTACTTAGCGGTTGTACTTTGTCATACAAAGAGAAGCACAAATGTCGTATACATTTCTAAAAATAACTGTCTAACTTTAAAGCGCCAAAAAAAAAAAAAAAAACTAAAGAAGGAAATTTTAGGAACTGCTAGAATTTCATACCAGCTTTCTGTACGTCGCAAGTCAAAAATACCACGTTAGAAAGGAAATTTTAGGAACTCCTAGAATTTCATACCAGCTTTCTGTCCGTCGCAAGTCAAAAATACCACGTTAGAATCACCAATAAAATCCGTGGTTCAACTAAACTATGTTGCCAAACTTGCATGCTAATTTTTAAAGCACTTGGCGAAAGACAAAAATAGTTTAAAAAACGACTACAGAACAACTCCCGTCTATGAAAATTCCAGAACGTTTTTAAGGATGAGACACAGTAAAAGAACAAGGTCACGCTAGTTAAATTATGTTAATAAAAAATGTGTAAACAGGTACTGCGGGAATACTGACCGACAGTCTGCCTCAACACCTATATTAGACTACAGTCGTCATCAGTCTGTTTACGGTCGCCCCGGTCTTGTTGCTACGGCGGCCATCTTGGAACTTTCGGGTCTGTGATTGTACGTGGAATGCCACACGAGGGCGCTGCCATATCGATTGATATAGTGTGAGAACGCTCTAGAATGCACTTTTTAACTTTAATTATTAATTTAAAAGAAAAACACACTAGTATTTACCGTATGGCATTTGACTTTGTTCAGAAAAAATATTTATTTGACGTGGTTCAGGGAATATAGAAGAATTTTAAATAGTCATAAAAACTATTCAAATCTCAAAAAAAGTCCACATTAAGAGACTCCTTGAGCCTTCAGACAGTGTTATACTGTGTTTGCTGAATCACTGAACTACTTTTGGGTAGTTTGAAAAAGACTAAATCAGGTCTAAAAACGTATTCCAGAACTTATGTTCTGAACTCTTTCGAGCTTCCTCATATTTGGTGGTCGTCTGGTCTAGTTCCTGGTCTTTATGGTAGTTCACGCCACATATTTATTCACGGAAATTAATATTATTGTTCAAAAAAATGTTGGTCCTTTGCAAATAGCTATTTCATTAGTAGAACCACTCAGCTATTACACGTTTTACAAGTATTTCTTTCTCATCTTTCATTTTCTACACCTATCCATTGTATTCTCTTAAACCTTAAATAAAATCTTGACTCATGAAAACACAGACATCGTCTCCTCCTCTTACAGGGAATCCATTTTGTTTTCTCAAGTACTGTATACGTTACTTTGGTTTTACCATGTTACTCTGACAAATAACGGCTCAAATCCTAAACTATTAGTCGTAGTATTTCAATATAAACCTGATATTTCACTTCAATATAAAGTTTTTAAACATCAACCTCCTTTTCAAACAACCTCCTTTTTTATACACATCACTGTTTTGTGTTACGATTCAGCAAGTAGGTCATTTCTTCAAAGGGCTTTCAAATTTGACCTGCTTTTTTTTTCTTTTAATTTTGCAAAGTAATCTCGTTTTTGTCTCCAATTTAAATGATGTACGCTTCGTGAATGGTGTTTTGAGAAATAGTTTTGAAAAATCATTGCTTTACGAAAAGAAATGGGAAAATTGAGATTTTGAGAATTGATTCGTCGTAAGACGAGCATTTTGTTCTACTCTCTATTTATTCAGTATTTAGAGACGTGTGTTTGTGTTCGTGTTAATGTTGTTGTGGGTTTGTTTTCCATCGGATCACGTAAAACACACGACTGTGCCCTAAATAAATTGTCAGTGGACACCATGACGTCACCGCAGGAGCAGTGAACTAAAACAATAAAGCACACTCCTCTCTCCTCCTGCTCCTCCACAGCGACCCGTCCACCGCCGGAGCGACCGCACCTCCTCATCCTCACTCCCAGCGGACATACGCCATCCGGGGTAGTGCGTGTTGGTCTCCGTCATCAGGGTAGACGTCTGCGCGGCTCACTGATAGTCCCGGTGCACGGCAGCGGAGGAGGAGAAGCAGCAGCAGCAGCAGCTCGTATCATCAGCAGCATCAGTTTTAAAGAGAGGGAGAACAGCATGTCAGCTCAGCCCGCAGAGGAGCTCGGCTCCGAGGGGAAGTGGTTCGGGGAAGACTACGGGAGGAACGGCCTGTTTGGGAACGCGGCGACCCGCTTCGACGAGCCGCGGACTGGTGAGGATAAGGAAGAGGATGACCTGCCGCAACAATTTAATCCTTTTCAAGGGGGCGACGGGAAAAGGCCCGCCGTCGCTATGGAAACTGCATCTACAGGTAAACTCTAAATATTTTTAACCGATGTGACGTTTGGGTGACACTCGAGGGGTTTCATAACAAACAAACACACACTCACACACTCATCGGCCTTAAGTGTAAACACAGACCAGAGAGAACAGCCTGGTCCATTTATTACACAGATGGAACTTAAAGGTGCAGCGAGCTATAATTGATGTCAAGTGTTTGTAAACACACTGCATGTACCTACGTCCCCCTCGGGGGGAGCTATAGATGCAGTCAGTTCACATTTGAGTCGTGATGTTGAACTCGCCTCATAAGAAAACATTGCATTTTTATATAAACCTAAACATGTTACTCAATCAAAACGTTTCTGGCTATTTGCCAAAGAAGTTGAAGAGGAGAAAACCTGTGAAGAGGGCAGTGTCCCCGCAGATCAGCAGGTAACACTGGTAATGACTGTCTCTCCATAAATCAAAAAAACATTGAAGCATCAACTTCCACACATTGTTGTCTATAACAACTGTGATGCTCTATGAGCTCAATTCATCACTGGTTTAACCTTTGACCCCCAGCCATTATCTCCTAGCATTCTCTTCCAATGTTTCAGACTAAAATTGACATGAATCATCATTGTAATGAAACTTCAGTGGCCTGTGTCAGTCATTTCCATATCAGCTGCAAATTGACTATGAAAAGGGAGAGTTACTAGTCAGGAGTTTTCTGTGTCTGGGTCAATTTGACCTTAGAATATTGAAATTCCCCAAACAGGATGCCATTACAGTGAGTGATGTGTAAAATGTCCATCTGGACTTTGGTTGTTTACACAGAACTGCCGGGTAATGAAAATATAAAAAATCTGATCAAATTGTTTCAACGTCAAAACAGAGTCAAAATAGTTAACCGGGAGCTCGAGTTTTTTAGGCTAACTAGTTAGCTTAAAGGTAATAAAAATAGCTCCTACTGTAATAGCTAAAATAATAAATACTGTGCCAAAAGGCACAAGCTCAACGATACATGATAATTATCAGTCAAATACAAAAATCACAGCTTAAAGAAATTTAAAAAATGATAAATAGTCAAAAGTTACATGTTTACAGGATGTAAAACAAGACACAGTGAAATTTGTTTTAGAAACAACTCAACCAACACTAAAATCTTCTACAATCAACACCACATCATATTATAACATGGTCCATATTGCCACCAAAATCTAGTAATTTTTCTCCATACCACTGTAAGGTTATTTAGGTTCCGTCCTGAGTTTTATTTATAACAACTCCAACAATTAGTTAGACCAAGGCAGCCAAAATAAAACTTTTCTGGCAGAGGCAACCCCACTTCCTCTAATGACTTAGGGCTTGGAGCTAAAAGCAGGAAGTGTGACGCAAGATTGCTTCATTCTGTTCAACTATTGCTGTGGATATTCCTATTTTTTCGTATTATTATTGGATGAGTGGGTGTTTTTGTGGGAACATCTCAGAGGCCACAGTCTGTCCTCGTAAAAACTCACACTGCTATTTTTAATCCGGGCTCTCTATTCGCTCGCTGAGGAGTAGAGACCTGCTCTTTCATTCACAGATTCACTGAAAAATTCATGAGATTATACAAAAAAAAAAACACATAGGACTTAGTTCCTCTCCACTTCCTAAACTACACTCGATTTTGCGAGAGCTACTCTGCTTGTGTCGAAAAAGCTTTCAAACTTTTTTATACAGTAATTTAAACCTCTCTAGTATTTTCTATTTTCTTAAAAACATAAAAAATTGAGGCCAGATTTAGCTAAAAGTTAGCAAAAATATATTGGAATAGCTTTATTTAAATCCAAGTAAATTGAAACCAGACAGAAATATAGGGAAAAAGTGTTAGCCAAAAATTATTTAAAATGTACATAGATACATGTAAAAAAAAGAAAAGAAAAAGCAATGCTAGTAGTTTGAACTCAGGAAGGTAAATACCTTAAAAGAGCTAAATGTTAGCCAAAATTCTTTGATTTTTGATTTCCAGAACTCTGTACTGAAATCACCAACATTTTAAAAGGCAACGATGAAATCGTTTCTAACATTTTGCACTTATCTTCTTTCAGTATTTGAACTGAACAAAGCACATCCTCCACATTGACAATCGTTTCAACCTGTGTAGGTGTACACAGTCTCACCCCTTACACTCTCTCTCACACACACACACACACACACACACACAGACTGAATGTTTTATTTCTCAAAGGATAAAAGAACGGCCCTGTCTCTCCCACTGAGTCTGATCTTTAGCTGTGAAATAAATCTCACTGACACTGGTGTTCTTTAAGGAAATAACACAGACCACATCTATCAGGACAGAGGGGACGTTTTCTTTTTTTTTTTTTACCAAAAGTTTCACATGTTGTTCGGTTCTTTGTTCAAATCATTCTCTGTTTCCGAGCCTTCGTCCGTAACATCCACTTCTCCCACTGCTATCAAAGGTTAAGTATTTTAAAATTGATTTGGCAGCCATTTTGAATAAATGGACTAAACACTGAAAAAGTATTAACCGGTCTTAAGCTGCATTTTTTAGCACTGGAGCCGTGTCTGTCCTAAATCCCCTTCAGAACACTGATCTGCCCGCCGGAGCCCAGGATCGCTGATTTCAGCTGTATTACATTACTACAGGACAGAACCCCGTCTTAAATTTCAGACACTAGAGGACAGTAAGTCGTCTTTTATTTGTAAAGGTCGCTCAGCCCGTGAAGGTTGACGAGGATGTCGCTGCATCACGATGATGTCTGTCGCTCTTTGAAAACGCAGCTCAGATTTTTTTTCTGACTTTTTTTTTGGCACCTGTCAGACCTTTGTTTGTTAGGTTTTATAACGGCCACTTCATCAAGTCCTTTCATCAGTGCATCATCTGTGTGAGAACAACATCCCCATCATCACCAGTGCCTGACAGTGGGAATTTAGACGCCAGCATTTCTCTGTTTCAGCATATCATCAGTGACAAGGATGAGCCAGCATTTGTCTGGATGGGTCTGTTCCACATCTTTCAGAAGAAAATAGAAAAAAAGCTTTTAGTGGACTGCGCTGGACTTAAGACGGCACGGTGCCTTTAGTGCATGTTCCCGGGGGAGGGAGGCAGCACTAAGTCTTTTCAGACAAGGTCATAAAGATGGAAGATTGTACAGCAGAGGAATGGGGTTGGAGTGATGGGGGGAAGATGATGATGATGATGATGATTAAGAAGATGAAGATGAGGGTGTGATAGTGTTGGGTCAAAGGTTTGAGTCCCTAGAAATATCTCCTGTAATTACTAATTTAATGTTTAAAGACATTTCACGCTCCTGTGAAACAGGAAGGGAACGCCCAATGGAGCTTCAAAAGCACATATATGCAAAATTAAAAGAAAAAAAATCAGGTCAAATTTAAAAGCCCTTTGAAGAAATGACCTACTTGCTGAATGGTAACACAAAACAGTGATGTGTGTAAAAAAAAGAGGGTTGATGTTTAAACACAGGTGTCAAACTGAAGCCCGCGGGCCAAACCTGGCCCATGGTGTAATAATATTATATAGCCCAGATGTGGGCAAACCTTTGACTCGCGGGCCACAGTTGTCCTGGAATTGGGGGTCGGGTCAGGAGCAGAGAGATGATGGAGCGTTAGTGTGAACTAAGATAAATGAAAAGTTTATTCATAAAGGCTAAAATGCTGAAATGCTTTTATCATTTTCTACGCCATCTATTGGGGAAACATGTGTATTGCAGGAAAAAGGCAGAAGTATAATGATAATATAAATAAATTACATAATTTAGAAAAGTTTGGGGGTGATTATTTTTGAGTTTAGCCTGAGACTTCGGCCCAGTTTTTAATTTTGGTCCACTGTGAATTTGAGTTTGACACCCTTGGTTTAAAACAATAGCTAAATCTTTGATAAACTAGCTCATTAAAAAAGTCACACAAAGGTCAGCCAAGAAATGAGCCAAAAAAATAATGATCCTACAGCCAAAGGAGAGGAGACAGGACAAAGAGGGGGTTTTCTATACTGATGAAACGACGTAAAAGTAAGTTTAAAAGTGATTCCAAAATGTTAGTAAATTTAGGGTTTACTTAGTCTGAGAAGAGTGAGATTAATGAATTAATGAATTAAGTCCACCATGTACCGCCACTAAGACTTACTGCTCTCACCGTGTCATGACATCATCGTTTCATCTGACCTTTGAGTCCCCAGTGTTTACCCTGAAAACCGTTAAAATCCTGCATGTGAAATTCGATACGTAGTCTTCACCATCTCTGCTGTCGCTGTCTGGCTCTCTGTAGCTCTCAGGTCTGGACTAATCCCTGCGCAGACTATAGAAGAACTGCTCAGGGGGATTAGAGCTGCTATCAGGAAAGGCACTCACAATCAACACGCTGAGTCTACACTGCAGTACATCTCTATTTATGGTCGTAGGACACCGCGTGGTTGCACGTCTGCCGCCTCACCCACACCATGTTATCCCAAACTGCGTTTTTGGTACATTTAAAGCAACGCACCAGTCTAAGTCAAACTGAACTGACAATTCAGCGCCCGAGCAGACACAGGCTGCAGACACAGGCTGCAGACACAGGCTGCAGACACAGGCCGCAGACGGAGGGTCCGGGCCACACCCTGTCCTAGCACC